TTAAACTAAATTATCTAACAACTGTGCTCAACAAAACTATGCTTCTGGCGAATACCGTAAAATTCCGAAAATAAGCCCCGGGGCTTATATTTTTCAAAGGCCCTTTTTGAGGGGCTTATTTTTGGAGGGGCTTGTATTCGGAGGGACTTATCTTCCGAGGGAAATTTGCATTTCAAAATCGATTGGGCTAGTCATATAGTTGGAAGTAAATTTACCGTTTTTGCTTTGTTTTACTTTGTATTTGAAGCCAATTTTCCAAGTACAAGCCCCCGAGAGGCTTATATTTGGAGGGGCGATTTAACGGAGGGTTTTTTGCGTTACCGGTTTGGGGGGCTTATATTTGGAGGGGCTTATTTTCGGAATTTTATGGTATATCACCTTAGCCTTGAAGGCTATCGAGTCCATCCATTGATACGTCTAGGTCGTGTGCACATCAGTATCGTTTTTCCCTGATGACGCCGTTGATCGACGAAAGCTTGGATTGTTATTTTATTTTCAAGTCTGTTTAGGGCCTCGTTAGAACTATTTTTATTTTTCGTTTTTTAAAGTTTAACTTCGATGTCAGAGTCCTTACATTTAACTTGAAATTGAACAAGATACAATGCGCAACCTCTTTAATCAAGCAAGAAACTGAATAGTTGAATGACTTTGCCCTTTTTCGCTATTTCCAATTTCGCAAATTGCTATTTTCGCAATTGTCATGGGTATACTGACCGATCTAATACGGACATTGTTCATCAACGATATAAAAGATACTTGACGTTCCACTGAGTTTTGTTTAAAAAGGTGTTTTGAAATCAGTTACTATCAGACCTTTTTTATCAGTGCCGGAACCAGACCTTGAGTAGCCTGAGTATCAGGCGTTTCTGATGGGAAAGGGCAGGAAAGGGGGACGAGAGAAGCGAAAAAGGGAGAGGGCGAAAGAAGAGAAATCCTAACCCTAACCCTTCCTTTCTCTGCCCCCTCCCCTAGCCCCTTAGGAAGGCCTGATACTCAGGCTAGACCTTGAGATAAGCGTGGAGGGGGGGGGGAGCTCTCCTGGATCTGCCGCTGTTGATAACAGAAAAATTGCAGTAATTAATGGTACCGGATATGAATAACACAACCTCCGTATATCTTAGGGAAGGGTTTAGAAAAACTCCGAATATCTTAGACGAACGCAACGGTTATCCGTAAACATTTTAGCCACACCCGAAAAAAACTTGTATCGTCCGGGTGAACGCAGTCCTGAATAGGACTGTTGTTGTTGACAGTGACTGACTTTTTCGACAACTTGTTTTGGATATTTTTCCTCGACTTGTGTAAGAGATTTGTTATATTACTATGTATATAACCTCTACTCGCCTGGACTATAGCTGTTGTTAACTGCGGGAATCCCGAAATATTTGTTCTTTTGGTAAAATTTGTTGAGAATTAATTAATGAACTGAACCGTGAACTGAACAGAACTGAACTACAGCAGGGGTCAAATGAACCCGCGCCACGCCCAACCTCGTTCCCAGGCTTTCTCCCCCCATTTTCTTAGTTTTCTTAGCAGACTGGTCCAATTCTAATTTTACGAAGAACGTCCTCACTCCTTTCACAAGGAGTGGGCCTCTTATTGGTAGCTGAGATTTGCACCAATCAAGAATCAGTATGACTTAACATGTTTAATTTTTGTAATATCCTCTATCGAAAGCGTCAGCAGTTTTATAAGCACCTCGGGCTAAGGGTGGTCGGTATATGTATGGTGTTATTGAATTAGAACAAGTAGCGTGAGGAAGTCTAGCCTGCGTAGCTGGCGGTATTGTGTACTAGTCGAGTGAGATTTGGCTTTAATCACATAATACCGCCAGCTGCGCAGGTTAGAGGGAGTCGGGAAAGAAGGCAAATCGCCTGCTTGCCGTTTAACAACGCATCATTCACTCCACTCCGCCTGAAATTCAAGAATGTGCATATCAGACCCTAGTCCTGTAACCAAGTATTCAAGTACAGATTGGAATTCCCATACCACATACGGAGTCGGTTCAAAGGCGAGCGGCCATATTTCAGGGAGATTTGCGTTTTTAAAAACGATAAGACTATCAGAGATCCACAAATGTGTCTTCCTTAATTGATGAACCTAACTGGTCATCACTGCAAGAGCGCGAAGAACATTGATTGAACTTTCACATTTTTATAAGATCCTGTATAATTTGGTCGCTTTGCCCTTTCCTAGTGGTGAATTATCTTTTATACCCATAATAGCTCCAGTACCAAAGGAAGTCTCATACCATGACATAAAACCTTTGATTTTTGCGCTCCCTATACCTGTGTGCTATTTCCGAATTTGGCCGCAGTTAAGACCATAGTTATGAGTTTTTTGTCATTATTTACTGCCTCCGCGATTGCCATGCACGATTAGCCTGCAGCTGTATTTTTGGTAAATTTAAAAAAACTTATGGAGTGGGGTTTAAATCAGGCTGAACTGCCTAAAACATCTAAACATTGATCTTTATTAAGACTTTCTTATACTTATTACAGGTTTCCTATGCATGATATACAAAATTAATAACAAACATAAATCTACTCTCGGCGTTAGTTTTCTAAGAATTAATTTTAGTGAGCTCTTCCAACTCAAATTATTAGCTTAGGTAAACTGAGAACTATAATCTGTTATATTGTAAATCCCTACAACAATATCAAGCACTTTAAGTGGTAATCATCCAAATTAGTTACTGGAAAAGGTATGTTTTGCCAGGCTGGGCAATTTCCCATTCCTCGGAGAGCAACACTTTCATTTTTACTAAAATCATGGCTTAATGTCTATCTACAATTCGTGATATTAGAACTTGGGTCAGTTGAGTCAGTTGACATGTTGTACTCAACTTCCTTTTCACTCTCTCTTTCAATGTTGGCTTCAAAACTAGAAAAATCCACTGAAAAACCATTACTTAACAACCATGGAAGGGAGATAGGGAGGAACTAGGGTTGTGTGACCCGAGTAGGTGTCCTTGATTATAGTTTAGTAACCTCAAGAGAGAATGAGCTAGCTCATTATCTCTTGGTAACCCACAGTAAATAAATTAAATTTGCCAATAAATAAATGGCAAGCCCTTAATGTACAGTGATAAAAGCAGTAAATTTTGTTTGATAATAAATTAAAATTCAAACAAAAAAGACTGTCTTACAGTCAAACCATAAATGTTTATGGAACCCCAATTTTTCAAAAAAATTAGTTATATAGCATATCAAACATAGCATTCAAAATTATGCCTTTACCCTGCGGTACATAAAAGGAAAAATGCTAGGAGCCCCTATGGCCACAGCTTATTAAAACTGGGTTTAATTATAGTAACCCTTCTTAGCCAGACAACGAGTTGTCCCTCATTTTTCTGAGGGATAAAAGAAGTGTACAAAATACATGAACAGGCATGAAAATTCCTTGTGGGATGAAATTTTCACACACGTTTGCATATCTTGCATACTGAAGTTTACCTTCCTTATGGGTGGCAATTTTCATGCAAACTCTACAAATCAGTATTTGTCTACTTCTAAGCTTTACTTTCTCCTTTTAATTTCGCTTCCTTAAATTGCATTTAAAGCTTGTATAAATTTAAAAAATTAAGATTACTACAATTATGTTGATCACAAAAATGATGAAATGTCTTTGGGTGATTTTCAAAAACAATTTTCCCTACTAGTACATAAGAAATACATACATGACATACAAATTAAGAAGAAAATTTGCAACTCGATGTTTGGTTAAATTTGATCAACTTTTCCATTGCAGAAACAACAAGTACGGCATCTCTCCACCAAACTTTTACATGGGTGCAAGGAGAGAATGTGGACAACAGTGTTCTGTCTAAAGACACACCCAAGTTATAAGTACCAGTATTACACCTGGGTGGGGAAGGTGACAATGCAAGCAACATTTCTTGTCTAAAAACACGAAAATTAGACACAACAAGTGTTACTTCTAAATTTTATAACAAATTGATGACTTACTACGTACATACTAACAAGGTACCCTCTTTTCAGTTCTTCAGTTAACTTTACAACAGTTACTCCTTATTTTCTACTTTCAGTTTCATGAACTGCTATATCTTGGTTGAAAAAACACTTTTTTGGTCAGCATGCAGACCTGGCATGGCATTTGCTTCAGACCATCTCTACTGAAATATCCCGCAACTTGGTTGTTGACTCTTAGCATCATATCCATAATATGCTCCCTTTCTGCGTGCTCCTTGAACACGTCAAAAACTGCGCTTATGAACCATGAGCCAAGAAGAGGCTGTCGGTAGCTCTGATGACCTGGTGCGGAAGCAAAACAGATGAGAAAATCTGCATCAGCTGGCAAACTTGGATTTGAAAATACCACTGGGTCACTATCACTCTCCACTGGTACTATATCTCGTTGATTTCCTCGACAAGCTTGAAACAGGAAAATCTTTGGTTTTCCCTCCAAGGAAGGGCATTCATCGCGGCGGAATAGTGAAGTGATTGCTTCAATATTAATCACCTCATCATCTGTTCCATAGATTCCATCTTTTGAACCATGGCTTAGGATCACACAAACAAAGCAATCATACTTTGTGAAGTCTTTCTCTGCAGTTTCTGTCAGTAACTTCAACATCTCACTTCTACTTAGGTTATCATGAACCCGGGATCGGAAGTTAAAGTCATCAAACAGATTTGTCAGATTCTGAACATCATCATTCGACCCAGTTCGCTCAACAGTAACCCTCTGTGGGAAGAGATAGTTGTTTATTACCAAGACATAACCAGACTTTGCTATATAGTTCATGCTATCACCACCAGATTCTTGACAATGGACATGAGCTGTAAATAAAAGCAGAAAAAGAAAATCATTAAAGAAAGCTCATCATTCTGTGACAGACTTCGGCCCCTGCTCACAGCTAGGCAAGTGGGTTAGGCCATTGTCTAAGTTGACCAGTTACGTGTACAAACCCATTTTACCTTTTAGGACCTAAATTAGCAGCAATTAAATTGCTATGTGATATATTCCTATACTAAGGGTACACCTGGAACAGGGCACCTGGCTATGGCACCAATCTCCTAGTCTCCCATACAGATCACCAATTCTCCTACAGTCTCAGACAAAAATCGTTGGGACACTCTAACCAAACGCTGTTTTTTTCCCTTCTCGTGCTCCCCTCATCCCTCTCAAAGTTGTTTATCGCAGTTCGGTCACCAAATCTTGTACACCAACATTGAGGGGACAAGGAGACCCCAAAGTGTCCCAACCATTCTGACTGAGACTGTATTTTAGAGGAATTTTAGGTATGTGACTCCTCGTTGGCCCTAGTGGCGGGAAATCGCTAGGCAGGTATATGCACGTTTCGGAGCCATTTTTTCGGGAAAAACATTAGAGATTACATGGATAGAAAGAGAGAAGACAATCAATAGAGGAAAGAAGTCTTTGTTTCTTTTATTAAAACATTTCGAAGTATTAAAAAAAGCTTTCTATGTATTGGGTTTAAAGATTGAACAACAGATGAGTCAAAACTGCGCGCATTATTTCGCAGGCTGTGTATCTTGCCGCTACTATATTGTACCGGTGGAGACACGATTGGACGGGTCACCATAACGGGTCACCATACTATCCAGGGCATTTTCTAAGACCTCTCTAGTATATACAATGGATTAAGAAAGAAAAGGATAAGGGAATTTCACACTGAATTGAAATAGCTAAAGTTTATAGCGCCTTGATACATGTAAGACAAGTTATTAAAACTTTGATCATGGTGACACGATTGTTTGCTGAAAGAAACTTATAAATATCTTAATTGAATTAATGTACGGTGACCCGTGTACACGTCGAGTATAACGCTTTTTTTGAGGTTGTAAGGATAGGTAGTTTCCTCGTTTGATATGATTTTTGTTTTGTACCTCAAGTCCCACATTTATGGCACAGTAGTTTGTTTTAGAGCTATTCAGGAAGGTGTATACTTGGGGTAAAGAATGAGAACCGATGTCACCATTTGGCGCAAGGCCAAATTAACATATGTTGTAAACAACTTATAAAAAGTTGTCGATTTCACAGCAGTAGCCTGGAATATCATTAAGAAACTTTTTGGCGTTGGACTAAACAGTTACACTATTGTTGGACACCCTTTTTACGCGTTTGTAGTTAATAGTGTCTTTAGGAATTTAGAAAGCGGGATACTGTTCTCGCTGATACGTCTTGGGAATAATCCTGGTTTGTTACATTTTCCTCCAATCTGGAGGAAAAGTTTTCCCCTTTCTCCCAAAATCGCTTAATCGCTCTTTTAGCTGTCTTCCGCCTCTTGCCCTTAAGTTAGAAAGGCCTCCCCTTGAGCCTTGTTCTTACACTCTTTCTTGGCAAAGAGGCCTTCTCTATTATTCTCCACACATTTTTTCTAGAAATGTGGCACATTCGAGCGCCTCTCCGTGTATGAAAACCCTGAATCTTGCGTAGATAGTATGCACGTGCTATATTCAGTCACGCTATCAATCGGCTACTAGAGAGCTATTTGTGTACGGTTTAGTGCACACTCAGTTCCTTTTATTTTCCAATACTCTACTCTGCCCAAGAAACTTCTGCCAACTGGTCATTCTTTGTGTTATGTTGTTATGCCCAAATAACTTAGTTCACTGCTATAGAAACGTTCGCGAAACACAATGGACGTAACAAACAAAAAAGCCAGTCGCTTAGACCGACCTACAGATTAACCCCCGTATCTGTCAACACGCCTTCAAATTCCTCCCCGACACAGTCTCAGACAAAAATCGTTGGGACACTCTAACCAAACGCTGTTTTTTCCCTTCTCGTGCTCCCGTCATCCCTCTCAAAGTTGTTTATCGCAGTTCGGTCACCAAATCTTGTACACCAACATTGAGGGGACAAGGAGACCCCAAAGTGTCCCAACCATTCTGACTGAGACTGTAGGTAAAATCCTCTCTTGAGCAAATTCTGTGCTTTAGTTTAGAACTTAGCCCATTTTCCCAAAATTCAAAATTTCTGGACAGGTTCATAGAATTTGCCATTGAGCGTCTGTCATCACAGATGGAAATTTTGATGATGCAAAACGAAGACAGGAGCCCAAGGCTGCCATTAGGAAAATGGAATGTAGTTCTCAACACATGTCTGTTTGACTTAATGTGCTACCAAAGTCAAAGCTTAAGCAAAAATTTGACTCCTTTGAGACTGTGATCTTTTGTTGTTCACAGATTGACAAGTAGCCACCTCTTCTCCTTTCTGCATGCATAATTTTACTTTTTCGCTTACTGAGCGTTGCTCTGAAGAAAGAAGCTAAGGGTGACTGAGGAAGGGGGGAATTGCAAGTCCCAGATTTAAGATTTCCGGCAGTTATCATCTCTTCTATGTATATATAATCACTGTAAATTTTTTTTATTATTTCAATGTCTTTACAGACAGGCACACCCAACCTCTACGCTGAGCCCAGCCATGAGTTGGGGAGAATTGCTGGCACACAGCAAGACACACATGGCTGTTTTCTTTGGTCACTATTACATATGAGTCTCAAGGGTATTAATTATTAATTTTGATAAATATTAGAGTACTGGGTCAAATGTTGGTGAACTTACAGGGTCCTGTGGGGGGTACCTCCTCTGAGGGTGGTTGTTGCCGTGGACGAGCTGTAAAATCAATTCAACAAATGATATTTAATATTTAGATGTTGTAGTTAATTTTTATTTCAGTTAATGTTTGTTTTTCCTTTGTCTTAGCCTGCGTGGCAGGCGTTCAAAAGGGAAGGGAAGGGAAATTTAGGTGCGAGAGAGACGCGAGGGGCCTGCAAGTAGGGAGGGACAGAAACACCTGCCACGAGACTACTGTTTTTCTCGTTTTTAACATCCACTAGGCGAATGCTAAAATCCTGATTGGTCAGTCTTCAAAACATCTCAATTACAGCCTTAATACCCTAATCTGATTGGCTGAAATCAACATCACACTACTGAGTAACTTAATCGATCTTTCAGTTGTCATTTACAAATATTTTGTAAGTGAAGTGTGATGAGATTTCTGTACGGAATTCATTGTTAGAATTAGAAACTGAGGGCATCAATTTCAGTTTGAAGGGAGAATAGAAGAAATTAAGCAGTTAAAAGAACCGTATGAAGGAAAAGGCCTATCAGCTAGATGAGTTTTACAGACTGGTTTTGAGAAGTCTCATCTCCCAACAGCTTGTTTTACTCATTAGAAGAAAGAAAGGAAAAATCATGCTGCCCGTGTGCTTGTTATCTGCTGTTTGACCTCAAATGCCTACCACGCCGGCTACGCTTTATCAACGACCAGATTGTTGAAGACGAAGTGACCTATAATCCTTAACGGGTTGAGGACTTCTTCTTGCTGGTTACAGAGAGTCAGCAAAGTTTTTTATTTTTTCTCAGATGCAAGTTGTGAAGTCCAGCACGATTCCTTCAGCAAATGACGTAATAGATATATGCTGTATTTTATATAACAAGCCACGCATCGTTGCAATTTCTTCTTTCAACAGACGAACGAACTTTAAGGTGTGTCAACTGAATTTGGCGGTTTAAGAAATGAGCTAGAAACGTGTGTAAGTGAGTTTCCAGTCTCAGACGTGCACTACAGCACACGATCGGTATTTTTGAAATTTGTTTAGTTTTTAAAATCGACAAGTCACTTTCAAGATTCAGAATTCCCGTGAAAATTGCTATATAAGTTTTCAGAAATGTCGGCAAATCTCACATGGTTTCAACTTAACTGATCTATTTTTGCCACGATTTGTCCTTAAAAGTTTAACAACTTTCTGTATTTCAGCGCAAATTATGTTCGTAAATACAACATAACACGGGTAAACCGTATCTGACACAAACTAAGGCAACTAAATGAAGTGCAAAGACTTGCTTCCCTTCAAGAAATTCGCAAATACTTGCTAAATTCACTTAAAGAAACCGGAAGTGAAATGTTCAACCACAGTGAGAGATTTTTCTAAGTTAGGAACTTCATTTTCTTACCATCAGTAGATGAAGATCCAACAGTTAATACAGCCCTATCTCCAACTACTATGTTTCCGGTGCAACCAGTAACAACAGTATGAAATTTAGACATTGGTTCAGACAAAATACAGCCAACGTTTTGCGGTCTTGCCAAAAGAGAAAATCTGAGTAAATGGTCAGCGGAAACAGAATATACGTCATGTACTTTGCACATGTTGCCGTCATATACTATACTTGGGACCATGGGGATTCCCCCTAGAGTCTGCAGTTCACAAGCTGGATTCCCCCTTGTTTTCTAAGTTTCCCAGAATTTTGAAAACAAAAAACAAAAAACAAAAAAACAGAACCAGAAATATTTAAATTAAATTACACACGCCTCTTGAAAAACACAGTCCTTCGTGGCAGTCATGAGAGAACCCCCTTGTCTAAAATTTATAGCCCCTTCCCTTTCAAGTCAGTCAAAAAAATAAATAACAGCCTTTTAATGCCCACGTCGTCTCTAACACCATGTCCTCTAAGGTCAAATTATAACCAAACATCTGGACTACATTTTTAGAATTTAAATGATAAACGCATCTGTCCGCGCATTACCACGTGCATAAACGAATCAAAGCAACTTTTTCCCAAGTCAAACAATCGTTTCCCTGGTCCAAAACAGGAATTAGAACACTGTAACTTGAATATTCTTTCTTCTTTTTAGACACCTACATCTTTCACAACCCTTGGCAATGCGAAATAATGATAGAAATTTTATTTTTTCACCATAAGATTCTTTCATTTCTTCATAATTAATCCACATGCCCTTGATATTAATTGAATTACATAAAAAATGCCTCATAATCACGATTATTCATATCTCAATTACATCTTGTTGTCTTTTAAAGAGCAATGACTGATTCAATTCTAGTATCTTGAGAGTCTGTAAGTCTATGGTACTGAATGCGTCTGAGGAGCAAAATGTGTACCACTAGTTACATTAAAACATAAATTAAATAATTTTAAAAAATATCTTTAAATTTTATGGTATACCAGCCAAATTCTGTCAAGCTTAACCACATATAAGTAGAAAATAAGTGAAGACAACTAGGAAAAGTTAATATTAAGTTAAGGCAAAGTATTTCCTTATTGTTTTCATAACCTAGCTATATAAGAAAAGACTAATATTTAAGTATAATGCAAACATCATTCGCAGAGGGAGAGGGAGACTATTAGTGTCAGGACATGGCACAGATCTCTGCCAGTTTTCACTAACTACGAAAAAATGGTCATTATTTTCAATGATTTTAGAAAATGGTGCTTTTAGGAGTTAAAATGAAAGGAGAAGGCAAATTCAGTAGTCTCATACACAGAACATGATTTGGGTTGAGTTGCAAAAAAAAATCTTAAGATTATGGTTATTGTTTCAGAACAAATGTTAAGAGCCCTCTCATCTTAACCATTTAAACCTTAAGATCAAAATTTGAATTCTCATTTGTTGCCCCTATTCATTTCCTACAGAAGTAATGGGGAGAAGTTGATAAAATATCAAGCAAGTTTGTGTGATCATGTCCATAATTCTCATGACCACTCTGTTTTACAAAGCATTGATATTACAAGGAGAAATTTGATGCTGATCACTCTTAGGGCTTCAAGGATTAAGAAGGTTTTTTGCAATCCAGCCCTGATCTCAAAATCTCACAAGCATTTGTGATGAGTCTTATTTTTGTGTGTGTGTGTGTGTTTTTTTAAACATCTCAGAATGTTGAACCTTATCTACCAACAGGTCTTTTTTAAAGACTTATCTTATTTACTAATAAGTACTACCTAAAAAAACCAACTGGCATTAACCCTCTAAGCCCCACTACTTCAACAATACAACAGACTATTAAACCCTAATTAATATTTTAACTTATTCTGGTTTTTTTATTTGACATTATTGTGACAGACAGGGTCCAAGAGCAGTCCATCAATTTGCTACAAAAATACTTTCCATGACCTTTTCCAAAATTTGGCAGATTGCATCTGACAGAGGTGATACCCAGGTCATCTCTTCTTTCTCTAGTGATAGCTAGATGGTATAATGGAATTCTAGGCTAAGTATGAATATAACTACTTTAATAAAAAATTCTATAAAAATATACATATGTGGTGAGAATTTATATTAGACATCTTTAATAGTACCTATTTGTGGTGCTACTTGTTCATAAGAATATAAAAAAAATTGAGTTTAAATATAACATTTCGAATTTTTAATCCATTTTATTACCGTGCAGGCAGAGTCTCCTTTTGTGTTCTTTTTTCTTGTTTGAAGAGTTGACAAGAAGCACAGCCTGAATTGCATCAAGCCTTTGAAGTCAACACAGCCCAAACTTCTGGACTAGCCAATCTTGTTTTCTCTTATCAAACTGTTTTTTTTTAGAGTGCGAGCATCTATTCATGGTAAACTCATGGTCACAACTAAGCTCATTGTCCCAAGTGCATGGCTATTAGGCTTAATTGGGACATGCCCAACAAGGATCTTACTTGATTCACGCAGTCTTCCTTGAGTATGCCCAAATCAAGGAAGCAAAAAGGCTCTGCCTGCAGGGTACAATTTTAGCAGTAATGGCAATACAGCTGTTTTCTTTAACACAGGCAGCAAGATTTGACAGCACCTGCCCCACCCCTGACCCCTTCATTGAGCATCTAATTATACACATGATCAGGAACAACAGCCCGATTTAACATTTTCCTTTGGAGTTTTGTGACTGGTAAGTTCAATAAATCCTCCTTGATCTGTCCCTGTTTTGTGGCTCTGGGACAGACCACCATTTTCTTCTGAATAGTTGTCCAACAGTTCTTGCAAAAGGTAACTGAAAATAACAGAAAAGTAAAGGAAATTCTGTGAGATAATCAAAATTATTATTCATAATTATTATTCTAATCGACGTGCTAATTCATCATATTGAACCAAATGGTCCTTACAGCACCTTATTATTATTATTATTATTATTATTATTATTAGATGCGTATAGATGATTATACAGATGCGTCAGAGTTTCCAGATATCCATTCAAATCATGTGAGGTCTCAGAAGACTTCACTTTTGCTGTAGCTGGTCTACATCTGCACTCATAGTTTTAGGCCTAGATTTTTGATGGTTTTTTTCTTAGTAATGCTTGATTTTCCTTTTCCCACTTTTAAATTATTCACAATTGTAAATAGTTTTCTATCGTGGACATATATTTAGTTTTTTAATTTGTAAACAATACAACATGATTTAAAATTGTAAATATTACTTATTGTTCTGAATACTTAAATAAAGATTGGTTTATTATTGCTATTATTATTATTATTATTATTATTATTATTACAAATGTTTTCAGTGCTATTAATTGCTTCCTACACTCTCCTGGAACCAGGGTCAATCCTTGGTCCTGAGGTATCGGGGCAGTTTTTCATTTGATGGACAGAAACCTTCTCAGTACGTGCGCCATTCCTAGGAGGATGATCTTTTGCAGCTCATTAATGTTACTGGCTCCAGGAATCTTTCCTAAATTCTGGTCCATTTCCTCTCTAAGAAATCCCAGCGCAACAACAATAACCAGCACAGTCTCTCTCCTCATTCCCCACATTCTCATGGTTTCAATCTCAAGATCTTTGTATTCTGAGAGCTTTTCAATGACTTTTGTCGAGGTGTTTCGGTTGGATGGTACTGATACAGTGTACATCTGTAAGTTTGCAACACTGGTTGGCATGGTCTTTGATCACTATATCAGGGTTGTTTGCTGACACTTCCCTATCTGTATTATTATTATTATTATTATTATTATTATTATTATTATTATTATTATATCATTGATAGTTCCCTCCTTTTTGTTGACTAATGCATGAATGTTTCATTTTGTACTTAAAAAAAAAAACTGGTTACAATCACAAGAATATTTTGAAAGTTAAGAGATTAAACCTTACTTCATTGTTTCAGTGACATTGATGTCCTCTTTGACTGACATTTCTGTCCAACCTAGAAATCCATTCTCTCTGCACATTTTTTCAATTATATCTTTCTCAACCGGTCTTGTGGCTAGGTCACTCTGATGATCAAAAAGTTGTCAAAAAATACAGATCAGATTTCTCATCTAAAATTCCTATCTCTTCCTAAGATTATACAATATGAAAACATTTTGACTTCTAGTAGCACCCTAGCAACTTTAAAATACATTATACTGGTAAGTATTAATAATTTTTTTTTAAATCTTGGTTCTTCTTAGGTTCATGGTGACCCTAACATAAGCTAGTATATGGCTTGTTTGCCTTGCATTGCACTCTCCTTAGAAGTGATTCTGTCAAATTTTGTGTCAGTTATTCATGTGCATAAATAATGTTCAAAAAATTTATGAAAAACTCAAAACCATTAATCCCTTTCAAATGCCACTAGACAACCTGCAATGGGAAAACAAACAAGACATTGACACAATGTAAGATAACTCCTATTGATGTACATTTTATGATCAGAACACGATCCTAATCATCAGAGAGTACTTGTAAACTGAGTTTATTAGGACCACTTTAGGTTTCTGGGAAACTACCCGCACCTACCCCTCCCCTACGCCAACATTTTGCCCTAAGCACTTACTTTATTTCCTACCAAGATACATGGGATAGTGTTTCCATTAGGTAGTGTGCACTTCCTATCCAGGTCTTTTTTCCACTTTACAGTGCTATTAAAGGTATGTTGACTAGTGAGATCAAACATTATAACACAAGCAGCTGCCCCCTTGTAATAAACTCTTGTCATTGATGTGAATCGCTCTTGACCTGCAGAGACAGAATAATTTTGTTCATTAACAAGTATAGTCGACTCCCGCTATTGCAGACACCCTCGCGGGGAAGATTCAGTGTCCATAATAATGAGAGTCTGTAAAAGTAACTAGCAGAATTTTGGCTCAATGAATTGGATATCGAAGATACCGCACCATAGAGCTTTTATTTGTGGTATTGATGTAAGTGACACTGTCAAAGCTATTGGCGCATAGAAATGATAGAACTCCCTCATGTTAACTGAACATTCACCATATATTTGTTACTGTTACAAAACAGTTTCTGTCATTGCTCCTTTTTTAGTAAATATTAAACTCTTGTTTTGAACAAATAAGAAATAAGTGCCCTGTCTCAAATAAGCAACCCTAACTAAAATATATAAGCACCCTCCCTTGAGGTAACAAAGGTAAATAAGCGCCCTGGGCGCTAAATGGACACCTCATGGTAAGAGTAAAAAAAATCGTTTTTATATCAGTGGCTTTGGACCTACGTGGCCTTGCTTTGAAACAGAGGCTTTGGGCAATTCGGAAATGGCCTTAACATATTCACTTAGTCAGGGAAATACCAAAACTGCATGGTGAAACTCCACTACGAACTGTTTATTTGGTCCGATGGAAACAAAACAACATACAAACACAATATTTCAATGCAAACACCTTTGTTAAATATGAACACTTGCTGTGGGTATTTCCCTGTTGATTTTCATTATTTAGAAGGTAGGGGTGTGGCTAACACAAAAAAATATTTCAACTGCATGTTCAAAAACTCTTCCATTGTGAGGCAACCCAAAGGACTCACTGTTTTGCTAGTAACATGTCACTGAAATTTGAAATAAAGTAATTAACTCAAACTAGGATAATTCATAATAAAGACCAGATATAATAGATAACCTACCAGCAATATCCCATAACTTCGCCATGTTCAGTTCACAGAAAGAAACAATAACACAAAATAAAAATAATGTCATAAGTAAACAAATGGAAATTGGGACAGGGTGTGAATATCTCTCAAGTCATAAAAAAGCAAAAAAAAATCGTTGAAAAACAACAACAAGAAAAAGAAACAAACTACAGTAATACATTGTCAAACTGTATGAGCTGATCACGCGTGTTCCTCAAATTGCTCTGTGTCACCCGAGCAAGAGAGTGCTGATCTCTAGGTATGAGATTTGTAAAAATATATGGCATACTTTAGAGTTACACTGCCTATGGAGTTATCTAAACATTACAAATGTTCAGTGTAGCTTCGAATGCTACATTGAAACCTCAAGGAACGTTAGTAAAGAAGAAAGTGTACCCGTACGTAACTTGCAGATCTGCCGAAGGTCTTTCTCAGGTCTGTCACAGGTCTGTTCAGTCATACAGCAGACCAATTTGACGCAAAACTGCAAGTCTGCATACTGTCTGTGACAGACATCTCATGAAAATGACTTCTTCTTTGACTGTGTGTTGCCTTTTATCTTGTTTGCAGCAAGTCTGTTGCAGACCTTTCGTGACTTTTGGTGATTATGCAATAAGGATCTATTATTATGTCTGCACTTGATCTGCAGCAGACGCTGTGCAGACAACCACCCGCACGAAACTTGCGGCGCTGTACAGCGCCACAAAATCGCTTCAAAATACAGCTGTTCAGCAGCCTTTTAGAAGCCAAACAGCAGCTTCATTCAAGTTGCAGCGGGCTGCAAAAGCGCTGTGCAGCCTTTGAAGGTTCTTTGAAGCTCTCGGCAGCGGTTTTGCAGCGCAGTTGCCGACTTTCAAACGCTGCGAAGTAGCTGCAGTAACGTCGCTACAATTCAGCTGCGGTCGATCTGACTTTCTTGAGCGCCAATAACATGAATCGCCAGCCTTGGTACAGATTACGGCTTTTATAACGCGAAAACGTTGACTGTACCTCTAAGAAATGTGAGTAAGCTTGTGCTCAAGGAAGATCACTTATTGAATAAACCCTCAAATTCTATGCTTTCAATAAATTTTATTCCGTGACCGGCAAGTGTGGGAATGTTATCGCTAATTCCCTGGAGACATTCTAGGCCGTGATCTAATTGGTCGGTCCTTTTTCATGAGATCCCATTACATCTCTAGACAAACACGGGATCCCAAACATTTGCGACCGTTGAATGAAAGGCGCAAACATTCTAAGTGTTTTTGCATCTAGTTCTGTTTCGAGATGGAAGTTCTGTTGAAGTTTTTGGATGGAACAGCTCAAACGTATTTGCAAACAACGCACTGAACAGTGACTTCTACGCTAAGTATCGACGAATCGAACCAGAGCAAGCAACACAGATACAAGAATCTCAGATGGGGTAATTCGCACTTGCAAGATTCTTATATGCTCGTGGTAATGTTCGGTCCTTAGACCTTTGTAAAATTTAACGACGACCAAAGTAAAATTGGGTTGATTTCTTTCATGAAAAAAGTGTAGAAGATCGTGGATCATGGACAAAACGTCAAGGTGAGCAATGTCCAGCTTAGCCCGTTGCAACGAATCAAAATATCATTTGCCTGCTGTCCGTGTAAACTTTATGTATAAGAGCAATCGCTGTTATTCTCTTTATTTTTAAAAAAGATAATTTTAAGTTACTCTCTCGATGCCTCGTTCCATTCTTAAATAAAGGTCACCTTTAGGTCACCTTTTGGCTTGCAGCGTGTTGTTTTCTTCGTATATTTTTAGCTGACATCTAATACTCCATTCACTTTGCTGCAGTCAATATGCAGACCTAAAGGTCTGTCATTCACCTTTTCACTTGCAGCTCACTGACAGTGAAGGGATACTTTTAAAACCGATCCACTTTTTGTGTTCACCTTTCCGTGACTAAATAAAATCGAACTGCACACTTAATACAGACCAACTGCATACTAACTGCAGACATTTCAGGCAAGTGATCTGCAGGCCTGCTGAAGACGGTTGAGCAGACGAAAAAAAGACCAGTCTGCAGATCTGCATGTTCCGTACGGGTAGATCTGATCATTATTCTTTTATGCAAAAATCCAAAAATACTTAAATATGACTTAAATGTTAGCCTGAGAAAACAGGCGACATTTCGTGACGTCACCACTGGTTTCCCCGCAAACTGACATCTGAGAAACAAGCGCAGAAATTTCATACTGATGACACATCCCTTCCCAGATCTGGGTGGTGCTTCTAATATATTGGTCGTGTTGTTCCACTCGTGAAATTTGCTTCAACCAATCAGAAGCACTACCCAGATCTCGCATCATCAATTCACGGGGAAACCATTGGTCGTGTTGCGAAATGTCGTCTCTTTTCTCAGGCTACTTTAAATGTTGGGTGGTAACTACATACAATGTACTTTGTTGTAGAGTACTGTATGTTTGAAAATGATCTACTGTCGCAAATCTATACCCACCTGAAGTCTCACTGTAGTATCCTCAGACAGTTTAATGACCTTTAATGCAAAATCCACTGAAAAAATGCATGAACATGTGTTAATAATTTTGTAACAGTTGTTTAATAGCAGGCATCATTTGAGTCACCTAGCAATTTTAAAAACGTTTCCATCCTTAAACACCCACAGAGTGTGGCACCATTAGGTATTCTTATATTGGACTCTTTTAAATTCACAGAACCATAAGCTGGATACTTGTATCTGCATGAGTAAAAATATCGTTTTTCTCACCCATTAGGGTGAGACCAAATCCCTGGCCCCTGGCTCTTAGTGACAGCCCTGCATACCACCAACTCTCTCTGGGCAGACACCTCTCTAAGACAGACCACAGAGGCTAGTCCTAGTGGTGTTGACCATCTTAATGTCAGTTGACATGGTATGATTTTTTCTTACAACCATTGTGCACAACCATCCATACGTGCACAACTTAAGACATCGTGAAATATCGCAAGCAATGTTACGAAAATGGCCGACGCCGGAATCTTGTTGGCCATGGTTGTTGGCATTTTATGCAAGAAAAGGAGGAAGAGATGAATAGAAAAGGTAAGTTATGGAAATATGGGTATGGTTACAAAGAAAATGGGAAAAAGGTACATTCAGACAGTTTATTCCAGTTCAAACATGAAGAGCGAGCCACAAAATCATGCAAACAACTACTTATGCCTGCTGACTCACATCAGTTTCAAAAATTTGCATTAAAATGTCATAACACGCCATTCCTTCCTCATTCATGACTATGATTGTCGCGTAATTTTGAAACAGGTTTCAAACAGCTAGGACATTTTTCAAGTCATGAACATCTGTCATATGGATGTCGAGGGTCTAATTTACACAACGTGATCTGTCATGAAGTCATGATGTATGCTAGTGGCACACAATAGTCAAAAGCAAAAATCATACCACGAAAATTCAATGGCCTTCAAAGAAAGTTGACTGTATTTACATCTCAAGACAGCAAGCGTCCCTATCCTTTCCATACGGTAGTCCCCTAAGTTTGCCCCACTGCCCTTAACAAGCAACTTTCCCAAGAGTTGGGGGGTACTCCCATGTAAAAGAGATGAGGGTGGTCTTCGTCTCGTTTAGGGATGTAAATAGCAGCTGGATTTTGGTCTCACTGAGGGCTGTCCATAAAGAAATTACCAAAAATTGCCCTGATTTTTACAGTCTCTCTGAGTAATTTTGCTACCCCTGCGTCTTGTTTCTTTGACACATAAAAATTCTCAAGGACGCAGAATAATAATTATTGATGGCTTGCGTCCTTTGGGACGCAATGATCAATCAATCTAAAAAATGTTTTTGAAGAATGTCCTTTTCCCTTAAAGTGAGGCACCTGTTGTCCACAAAATCATTATCTATGTAGAAGCATCCACCGCAATGGAAAATACAGTCGAACCTCCCAGAGGTTCCAATTAAATGTAGCGCTTTGACAGGGGGAAATTTTGGTGTTTTGGATTGGCCGTCGCTTATGGAAGCTGCTCGAACATGGAGGTTCGCCTGTACTACTAACTGTTGTGAGTCAACTGAGGAATATTCTGTACCAAAGGCACCAGTACAAGGCGTCAGTTTAAGCTTATATTAAGTATAAACCGGTTATACTGTTTCTACACCAAGTATATATACATGGTCCATATGACAGCGAGGTGATCGATAGGTGTGAGCTTTTTCAGCTAAACTGTACTGTTTATATCCACAGTGACTGGCAATTCTGCAACTATTCCAACTTCATACATGTACGAAGTAAAGTCTACAATTAAAACTTCTTTCACTTGCACTTAAAAAACGCTAAGTTTTATTATTATTATTCTCGAAATATGAATTAATAAACAACATAACACTTCCATACCTCCTACTGTAGGCTTGTAATCTCTTCTTGGATGGCTGTTAACATAACGCTGAACAAAGCTCGTTTTTCCCACTGTGGCATCGCCTATTATGATCACTTTAAAAGTTAATTCGGACATTTTAATGAACTTTTTGTCTAACTTAAGACGCAACCGGCGGCCGCCATTTTTCGCTCCGGAAGTTCACGTGACTTTCAGTTGATCTGTTGGAAACTAAAACATACCGGAAGTGATCTATATACGTTTCAGCGGGACGGCAGCGGGACTAAACTTAAGGGAGACTATTAAAATAAACCCCTGAAAAATTGACCCTCCTGAAAGTATTAAAAACCTCACACTTTGTTTTGTCATCACTTCTAGAGAACTCTCTCCCCACAAGAAAGAATAGAACAGGACACGCAGGATGTATTTTGTGTCTCTTTTGCCACAGAGATACCACCTGACCTACATGTATTCAATAAAAGCACAGAGAGAGAATGCAAGCAAGCTGAGATAAATGGCTGTTGCCTGGGTGGGGAGAGGAGAAAGTCTCAGGTTAGGATAAAAAATCCAAACACCTTTGTGTAGGATAGACTTAGAGCGAGGCTAGCCGTGCGTAAACAAAGCTTTTTAAATCTCCTGAACCAAAATGGCCGCCGCGTGATAAAGGTCTATATAGGATCGAAGGGATTATAAAATAGGAAAACTGACTGGCTGGGGCCACTAATAGCGACATTCCAGCCAAGATAACTAAAATGAACCAATCTTTCTTTGGATCCTAGTTGACGACCACTTTTGAGTAACCTCTCCCCCCAGGGGAGAGGGGTGGGCTACTCAACTAAGGTTTGTTTTCGGGGAGCCTCCAACCCAAGGCCCAAACACTTACCCTTTCCTCAACCATTTTGGACAGAAAAGGTACCCTCTCCATACACCTTCTATTGAAGAATGGTACCCCTTTAAAAGACCTACGTAATGAGAATAATACCGTATTTATTCGATTAACCGCCCTGGGCGCTTATTAAATTTTTGGACCTTGAAAGTGTGCGCTTAGTCGAGGTGGGCGCTTATTCGAGGCTGGGCGCTTATTAAATTTTCACCATTTTCAGCAAGTGAAGTATGTTTATTTTGCAACAAAACAATAAATGCTAATAACAAAACGCGAAGAAGTAACAAAACAAGGTTTCTGTAAAATACTCTGAAGAAAACTCCGTCCTCGGGGAAGTCTCTTATTAGAATTTATTCACTTAAGTGGGTGGGGTGGGGGTGAGCACTTATTTGGGTTTGATTGGGAGGAGGAGGGGATGGGTGCTTATTCGAGGTGGGCGCTAATTCGAGTTTGGGTGCTTATTTGAATAAATACGGTAATTACTAAATCAGGAAGTCTTTTTGCTATTTTCATGCAACATTTTATAAATCAAAATAATAATTCCATATTAAAGGCACATCTTTTCAAAACAATTTGATTAATTAAAAGACCTTTTAAATACTTAAAGTGTAGATTTTTCTATCCTTTCATACTTTCACTCATGAATTCCCTACTCTTCATTTACCTGAAGCCCAAAAAAGGTTTTCCTTGTGGGTGAAGCCTTCCTATTAAGGCTATTAAAGGAGTGCCCCTGTCCAGACCACAAGGCCTTTTTACAAAATGAGGCTAAGTAGGCTCATAATTCTCATTTCACATTAAAAGGCTTTGCACTTGGTCTCAGCTTCTAAAAAATTGGATGCACCAAATTCATGCACAGTCTTCCACACCATTAATTGCAGGCAATCATTAACAAATAACATTTAACAGTCGCATATTTCTGATCTCTGAACATATAAATACTTTATTTACAAAAGTTAGATACAAAATTGATTTAGAGTAAGTCTTCGAGCATGGTGCATTCAGTTCACGTAATAATAATAATTAATTTGTAATAATTATTAATTAAATGTACACGCCATCAATGAAATACATCTTCACATTATTCTTGCACTGCATTTCACCATAGATACCACTCTATAAAGAATGACATATATAGAGTAGTAAATCTTCAAACCCCAAGACCTAGCGTTTAATATCTCTTACCATGACAAATGACAATAAAATATATTTATCAGAACTGAGTCGTTTAACCGATGCCATCACTTTGTCAGCTAATGTTGAACTGCGATATGTCAACTAATTCTCAAACTGCTTTTGGAAATAACAGACAGTCGCTCAGAAAGATTGTATGAGTAGACAGTTCTTGGGGTTTGAAGATTTCATTCATGTCACTTTTTAAGACTAGATTTTTTATTATTGTGAAAGTAGAACATATTTGTCTCACACATTTGAGACGCAAAAAATATTATAAAAGCAAGCCCTGATTATTTTGTTTTCCGAAAAAATATTGGTGCAAAAGACTGATATAGTATTTTTTTTATCTTTTATTGAGTGCCCATTCCTAGTGACGCTTGTACCTGACAAACTCCCACCAGAGAAGAAGAATATATCAACCAGTTTGAAAAAAGGACCAAAAAAGAGTTGGACTTAAGAGTATCTTAAATCCAAATTCAAGAAAATTTCCCATTTCTTTCATTTTGTAAAATACTGTAGCACACAGGTGCACACGAAAGTACTGCCTAGGAGTTCCCATTTGAATAGTCACATAATATAATTTCATCCAAAGACTGAAAAGTACGTGTAAAATACATGCAAGTGGCACCACAGGGAAGTACTGCTCCATATCTTTCATTTTAATAGTCACAATTTTAACATTTAATCCACAGAATCAAAAGTTAGAACCATCTTGTAACTGCTCAGTGGCTCTCATTTGAATGTTCACAATTAATTTTACGATTTCACCCATGAACTTCTGAACAGCACTTTTTTGTGGGTATATATGTCTTGGCCCTTACTACTAGCTCTGAGGAAGAAATCCTAAGGTATGACCAAATTAATGAAATTTCAATGAAAGCTACAAAGCAGTACTTTTCTTTTCTTCACAGTTAACTTAAAATACTTTAAAAAGTGGTTCTGGGTGAGTCGTTTTACAAGGGATTTCAAACATGTTAGAATGAAATCCTTACATGTTAAAATTCAACTGAGATCCTTTGATCCCAGAACTTTCATATTCTTGGGGACTAAAGGGATTTTGGAAAATACTGGAGCCAGTACGTAAGCATCATTGATAATAATACAAATATGTATAACAGGTTAAGACAGAAAAAAAAGGAAAAAGAGAATAATATTATTAATGTTAAAGTAATAATATTTCTCTACATTATAACTTAGTACCTGTTTTGTTTGCAGCAAAATATAGTCTACCATATTTTCATTTTTTTAGTTTTACAAATAATAATTAACAATTTATAAGATGTAACTCTGGAAATAATTTGAACAACTAAAATAAATTAATATGTAAATATTAGTTCCAATGTTTAAATTGCATGTTTTGGATGTGACACAAATTTTGCTTTGGAAGGTTTCTGGTTTTCTTGTCTCTAAACAATCAACATTCCTGACATACTTCCAGAGCTCAAAGTATACTGAGGCAAAACATTCCCATATCACGCATGTAAGAAATAACTTGAAATACTTTAGTATCAGCTGTGCACAATGTGAATGCTTAATCAATCAGAGAGATTATGAAAATGAACAAAACAAACTCAAAAATGAGTCTCCCTTGAAGACAACAACTACAGGTATTATTCAAACAATTCCATACCACGGCTGATGTGGACAAGAACGAAGAATACACACATGAATATTTGAGAAAAAAGGCTAAACCATACAAATTTTTGTTCACTATTGTCAAAGGTCTTTTACAAGTTTATTTGTCAACTGAAGATATGGCCTTGGAAAAAAAGTTCCATATTACTGTTTGGTGCAAATTTGACTGAAAGAGTCAGCACACCGTAAAAAAGAAAATCCTAGATTTTGTTTCTCGCATGCACATTCTTATTATATAAACCTTATCTTTCACCTTGTCGAAAAAAGGTTTAAAGAAAAAAATTGTTTTTAAATAAAACTACAACAGTTGGAGACAACATAATATTTTACATCCGACGCTTGCATTTAAATATTATTTTTTCCTTTCTCACCCTCACATAATATTAATATATTTTTTACTTTGATATCTTTCTTTGAAGCTACTACACTGACAAAACTTAGCGAGGCCGAAAAACACTACTAACACTGCCTTTATTCACTTCCATCTCTCGAAGAAAATGTTAAGAAGTTATGTGCGGCTTTTGAGTCTGGAAGAAAAATGAAAATGTGACCAATCAAGTGAAAGCTACTGAGCATTGCTTTACAGACAGTGCATTCTATTATGTGGAGTAAAACTTTGGAGTGAAACCGTGGATGAATTTCCCGCGAAAGTGTGAAAAAAATTGATTTAGCTTTACGTTTTAGTGAAACTAGTAAATCACAATATTTTGTGACCCTAGGAACACTTTTGAGTGCAAGAGTTTATTAAAAGAGTACTACTAATAATTGTTAACCAGATGATCTGCTTACCATTACATCGACAAAGGCCTCAAATCTTGAATACCTCACAAAAAGGTCCATTCAATGTTATTCAGTTGTGGCGACACAAACAAGAACCACCAGACTTACAACTTCTGTTACATTTATGCCTTGCATACCAGTGGCATATCATTAAAACAGGAACAAAACATAAACAAATGAATCAAACAACATTAGATTGTGGTTTCTGGCACACGGTGTGCTGAATGTTTTGCCGAGGTTCTGTCTTGACAAACACTGTATTTGGAGGACTTTTAAGCTGTTCTGTGACTTTGACAATAACGTTCTGACCTGTTAGAGGTTGTTGTGAGATGAATGATTGTGATGGAGGAGCTGGTGCGAGGCGAGGTTGAATAGGAAGCTGCTTTATAAGTTGAGAGTTGATGTGTTGTTTTTGTTGTTGAAGTTGTTGCTGCTGCTGCTGAATCTGTTGGATAGTAATCTGTTGTAACTGTTGCTTTTGTTGGGCAACCTGTTGCTTAAGCTGTGCAATTGGTTGCTGGGAACTTGATATATTATTGTGATTGATAAACAGCTTCGTTTGGTTGCCCTGTGGACTTGTAACTACAACAGTCTTCTGTTGTTGTGTTATGACTGGTTGCTGAGATGAGAGTGACTGGACCACTTGCACGTGAGATGACGGAGAGGGTGCCTTTTGCACCCCTTTGTGAGGAGATCCTTGCCGAACATTCCCCACTTTTCCTATAAATGAAAATGGACATTAGAGTTCTTAATTACATTTAAGACATTCCAAATCTCTTGAACTGACCCTCTTGAACTGAGCATCTAAGAATTCTTTATATGATGATCACAATGACATAAAGAAATCAGCCAAATTTGAGATTTATATGTTTGCACAGATCAAAACAATTTTTTGTTGCATTCCCTTAGCACACCACCAAACTGAAGTTTTAGAAATGACGGTCATTTAACCAAATCTGAGATGTTTTTTAAAGACCTCATCAAAGAGAAGACATCTGGCCTTCTATGCAACTACAAAAAAATATACTATCTTTCTTTAATACTAGTTTATTATCATGTATCATTGTTTTTGTCTACCTCTGAATTGCGGCAGGAACTGACAATGAAACTATTTTATCAGCCATTTAAGTGTTATACGGCCGTATTGTTGACACTGACCGATATTTTTAAAACCTGTAGAGCAGTCCTCTTAAATCTCTTCAAAAAGAGTTGTGTTTTGTCAGAGGATGGCATTAAACTCTGGTTATTGACCTGATTGGTCAATTAAGTCACAATGTTATTGGCTCACTGTCAGTTAAGTTGCTAAGTCATAGGCTATGAAGACTCTACAGTGTAAATGTGAGCGGTGCATTGGGATCCATCTTTTGTCAAAGTTATAACCACGATCATTCTTATTGTTAGTCAAATCAGTTTGTCTAGTCACCATTGTTGCCAGTTTTGTTTGAGTTTGTCAGTAAGTCACTACAGTCGAATCCCGGTAACTCAAACCTTCTATATCTCAAACCTTCCGCTTACTCGAAGCAATTTACATTTCCCTTCAGATTGTTTTCTATATAATTTTACCCTCAATAACTCAAACTCCTGATTACTGAAACTTTTGAAGATTCAAATTATCTGGAGTCAACTATATTTTGTAAGGTGCTGGTGATTGCTGACTCCTGGGTTCAAACCATTTACCATATTTACCATCTTTCATGCTTACACTTGATATGCTAGCTGGAGTTTATAACTTACAAAATGTAAAAGGCTTACAGCTGTTTTGGATAACATTAGACCTGCATTGTCGTACACATTTTAGATTTTGGGTTTTTCTTTGGCGTCAATCAAACCGTTACCATAGCATCCAATCCTTCCTTCTGGTTTTGGAACCGCTAAAAGAAAAATTTCACAGTCGTCTTCACCTTGGGAATCTAAACTTGCCATGTTTCAGTAAGAAGGTAAAAAAAATACTTGAGAGCTAAAACGTGAAAAGTTAACATCACACAACAGAACATTAAAGACTAAATCCTCCCGATTGACAAGACATAGAGTGAGAAAACTTAGCCACTAGGCCTCTAAATTTTGATTGACATCACAGAAAAACCTAAAATCCAAAGATGTTTCCGACATCGCAGGTCGCATGTTATCCAAAACAGCTGTAATGAAAATCACAAGCAAAATACTTCATAAGCAAAGTAAACTTGCCTCGCTGATGCATGCTGGTACTCAACGGGGACGAAGGCTGCTGCATAACTAACTGTGACTGATGCTGGATCATGTTATTGAAAATTATATTCTGTCCTTTACTAAGATTTGTAGAAGTTGCTGTTGATGCTGTAACTCCAGCAACAGATGTAATTGCATTCTGCGTTGCTGAGTTGCCCTTGATCACAAAATTCAGTGGGTATCCCTTGACAGTTTCTCCCGGCTGGGGTGGAGGTGGCGACGGGCCAGTGCCATTGGGAAGTGACGTCACTTGCACATTACCATTACCCTGGATAAATTATCCATCGTAATTATTTAATTAGTCCTGGGATTACAAAAATGTGTAGGAGTTTTAGATTGGATGGTGATCCGGAGAGCTTATATTCAGCAGGGACACGAGGAAACAATGATTATCCTTCCACACTTACTCTACTCACACTATTCACTTTCCTTTTTTTAAATTTAAAGTCGTCCTAGAGTGCAGGGCTGTGCTCTATCAGAGCCCAGCGGCCCCTGGCGCCTAACATTTTCTCTCGGCAACTAGAAAATCTTAGTTTTTTCATACAAATCATTTGCGGCGCACCCTAGATTTTACAGGTTCAGAGCACTGCACTCCCTTCAATTTTCGTGAGAGCACAGCCTTGCTGGAGTGTATCCATCCTTAAAAGTCCTTGATAATATCATTTTGAAATGGAGAGTGAAAAAAAATGAACTTTAAGTTTACCTGGGAGTTTACCAGGGGTAGACGGCCGAGCTACAGGGAGAAATACCAAAATACTGTTTTTAGCAGGCTGACAGGCCTCCAAACAGAAGGGCTTATAACAAGATGGTGGACTTCAAACTGGGATGTTAAGGGGATTTCGCTTCAAAGTCATTGATCAATGTGCTAAGATTTTAGGATTCAGCTAGATGAGACAAATCGCCTTTGGAAGATTGAAATGTTTGGAGACAAAGCGTGGAACAATTATTGGTCTGGACAACTTAAATGAAGTGACTTATTATTAATAATTTATTTAAACATTTTAGTTTTTTTTGAAAGTGTACATTCAAGCTTAAGTTCCCAAGTGTAAGGAGAAATGTACCTGTTTGAAGAATATAGGACTGACTCTCTGACCAGCAGAGGTTGATGTCACCTTCCCTATAACAAGGCAAAGAAAAATAATGACATTCAAATAAATTATTAATTATTAATAATTATTAATAATGATTTAACTTTCATTATTATTATTATTATTATTATTATTTTTATAATGTCAGGCTACAACTGAAGGTAACATGTATTAAGTGATCATCATAATACACACCAGTTGAAGGACCAACTTGGGAAGTGATCTGAAATGATAAACAAAGAAATGTGTTAAACAAATACCAGCAAAAAAAAACAGGAAAAATGCTAATTCCTATCATTTTCCCATGAATCAAATGGAATGAACAAAATACTGTAACACACATCTACATCAAACTGATACAAGTAGCGGTATTATGCCATCAAATTGAACCTCCTTCATGGTTTGTGGGTTTTGATTCAAAGCATTTGGATTGAAACCCACAAATCATGAGCAAAGTTCAGGATATGCCAAATTCAACTCCTGAAAAAATTGGCCACCCATGACAAACTAGAAGAGCTAGAGTTGGAAAAAAAAAAGAAATGTGAAACCCCACAAATACTATGTTTTATCAACAGGACAAAAAGTAAGACACCTGTTGGCAAATAGCTTCGAAGTTTCTCCGAACGTTTAAGTCCACAATGGCAACCAGCTTTACAAGGCGCTAGCTGGCGACCAGCTATGAAATTCTGGTCACCAGGAAGGCCCAATTTCGGACCCTGTAAACAGCAGTTTAAGGCCAGCTCACTTGAACAGTTTTATATTTTTTAATTATGCTGCTGAAGGACAACATGAACAGACTATAAAGAGCAATATCTAAGTGACTATCCTAAGACAATAATGATAAATGAAACCCTTATACACATTAACATTGATATAGAGAGAGGATATTACATGGCTGGGAGGAGATACGAAACTTTTCTTCAAGTGTTGAAAAATATTTCACAAGTGAGTGCAGTGAACACAAGAAAAGAAATTTCTTTTCTCCAAGCAGCCATTAATTTTCTATTTATTGTAATATTCACCAATGAAATACCAAAACAATTTACTGTACTATTTTTTGCTGCAAAAGGCACGATTTATTTACCATGTAGCCATATCAAAGGTGATTTTTTTCACATAATTATGAAGATAACATATTATTTTCATGTGTGAAGATATGATGATTTCATGCAAAAGCTCACCTAGTTTTTTTTATTGGTGTTTATATAATAAAATATCTTTCATGATGTTACTCTATTGTATTCATTGTTTGGTGCAGAATGATTAAGAACTCACCTGTACTCCTTTGTATGCAGATGATGATGATGATGTTGAAGCCACAGAACCAACTGTTACTTTTCCTGCTACAGGTGCAGGTAGAATTTCCTTTACATTAGTAAAACCAGGTTGAATTTGTCCAGTTATTGTTCCTACATTTGAAATTTGATTTCCACTGGCAGCTGATATCAAAGACACCGTGTTAGCTGCGACATATGTAGTCTGTGTGGTCGCTACTGACCCTTGTACAGAATTAATACCAAGCGCTGAGCAAAGATTTAAACTGGAGTCTAAAGTAGCATTTCCAGCAACGCTTAAGTTAGGCCCAGGCCCAATGGATGCTTTTGTCACTGTCACACCTAGTGGGTGTCCAAGATTAAGTGGGTGTCCTCCAGACACATTAGTCTCAATATTTGCAACAATATTTCCCATATCACTAATAGCCTGACTGCTGGGATCAGGTTTAATGTACGTTGATACTGTTGGACCATTTGAAGTTCCAATAGAATCTAAAAAAGTCCTTTTATTCTGCAAGGCAGTTCCTTGAATTGAGCTGCTTCTTGAGTTGTTTAAAGTTGTTTCTACATGGTTCAAAGACTGTCCAATGCTCCCTTGTTTTAAAGACTTGTTCCTCGGGGGAGGTGGAGCTTTCAAAAAATTGTTCAATGTCTTGTGTGAATGACCTTTATATCTTTCTAACACTGAAGATAAACCTATTAGAAATCATAAAAAATAGCTTAGTAAGACAGTGTACTATTAATAGTAAAAACCCACTTGTAAGAACCTAGCACATTTTTATGTCTGGAAAAAAAAGTCAAAACCCCCAACCCTTTTATTGAATATAGCATTTTTGACAGGAAAGGTACCCCTTTTGTATAACCTTTTATTGACAAATGGTGCCCTTTTCAAAAACCTACCTAAGAACTTTGGATCCTTTTATAAACTGCAGTAAATGCAACTTTGTCTTTGTGATGTGAATTAATCACAAAACAAGAATGTTTTCTCAACTTTTTCACAACCTGGCATTAAAAATGCATCTGCTATCCCCAATGGGCCTTTTTACACACTAAAATGACAGACTTCCCTAACCTTTCATATACGTCAACTGGTGAAATCCCCTCCCTAAAATATACCTGGCCCCACTTGTTCAAAAGGTGGATAACACTATACACTGGATTAATACCTGGACTTGCCTCCTTGCTAACGCAATTGCTTTTTCTAATACTTTTCCGCTGGATAGTGATTTATCTAGTAGATAGCACTATCCACCTCTTGAACGACTGGCAGCAGAAGCCTAGAAATGGTAATACCCCTTTTTGGGTGGGGCCTTCCTGTAAAGGCCATTATAGGGTGTAACCCCTCGGGGCAATTTCAAGACACAATACATTACCAACAAGAAATACGACAGTATTGAGGATACCTTGATTTGAAGACTGCCCTACTGTTCTCATAGCTGGTCTTTGCAGTATGGCAGCACTTGCTTTGTTAGATTTTGTTCTGTTGAAAAGCAACATGAGATGCAGCAAACAGATGTTATTGTAGTGGAAATACAGCGTATTGTAAGTGGAAAATGTTCTTTTTACTGCAGTCACACAACTACTAATAATCCTCAAGTGGAATTAAGTTAATGAGTTACAAAGATGAGCAGTCTTTATTTGTTGCTGTGTGCCACTAGAGGAACAGGTCAAGGATTTTTGTCAAGAGGATCCAACTTTTGGCACACTTTTGAAGCAAATAACATTTTCCATTTTAGAAATTTGATGTCATGATACATGCAGTACAGCTGACATAATGGATCCAACTTAAACACATTCACCTCTTGGATTTAGTAATAAACGTTGTTTGCCTAGATTTCATCCATTCATAGGTGTTTCAAGATAGCATAGCAAATGTCCCTTTAACTCTATCAGACTTTTCAGTGGCGATCTCTTTTTTGTTTTGTTGCAGTTTTTGTTCCCTTTGGTGCCTGTTCCTCTTGAATTTTAAACACGATGTGGTACAGTTGATTTTATATCCTTTATCTCTTCATCAAAACCTTAGCTTACTGTAAATTAAGCTACAGGCAGCAATACACCTGACTGTATAACTCCCAGGGGTGCATGAAAATGGTAGTCTAGGGCAAAAAGGGGATAGTAGGCAGCTCCTAAAAACTTCTAATTTCATTGGTTCTCCATAACACGCAGCTCCATTGTTTTAGGGATACAGTCATTGTTATATTTCTATGTCTTCACAGTCAATTCTGTGGGGCCTTGTAAAGAGACGCATTCCGCCCCCCAAAAAACTCCGTCCAGTAGTCCGTGACAAGTATATTAATTTTATTGATGAGCAAGTAACTTTTAAAGCGCACTTGCCCAATGGGGAAGAGTCCAGGCAAGTCATCCTCTAATAAAAATTAATCATTAACTAAGACGAGCAAGAAGTGGCCTTGTCCAAGCAAAATGTGAAAGCTGCTTGCTCAAAAGACAAGTCCAATGTCTCCTATGTTTAATTTGTTGAGGCAAGAAAGACCAGATATGCCACATGGTTCACACAGAATTTTTTGGGAAAAAATCAAGGACTTTTCAAGGACCAAAATAATTTTTTCAAGGACTTCTTTTTCCCATAATTTGACATAAAATGACATGAAGTAAAATTACAAACCTGTGGAAAATGTTCAGATAATTTGCGTCTACTACGGACACAATCTGACTAGACTATTGTTTGAGCTTTTGCAAACTGACATAAATCTTTGCATCCAAGTCAGCCAATTCTTGCATTTTCTATAGGCAGTGAGTTTTTCTGAGTGAATTGGCTAGGGTGACAAAAGTTAATTTGCCTGTGGCTTCTGCTTTCAAGCAAAGTTTGTCTGGTGTTTCAGTCATATATCGGAATCTACTCTTGCCTTTTTCTTTTTCATTTCCTCAATCTCCTCAAATTCCCGCTTCTTAATGTACCGACACTGACCCTTCTGCCTTAATCTTTTTGACTGGGTTGCCATCGCCATTCCAATTCAAAACAATATTGAAATATCCGTACTTCTAAATGCATAGGTGGAGGAGGGTTCGCTTATTGCAATGATTGCAATACCTTCCCCCAGGAAGACGAATACCCTACATGTAGGCTATTTCAAATAACGGCAAAAGAACTTTAGCGGGAACACCAAAATTACACGAAAACACACTTTCATGATCACTAAGAAAATTTACATATTGCTGTGCTTTCAAATCTTTCCTTTGCGCAAAACACTTTTTGTAATCAACAGGCTATTTTCATTCAAGGAGCTTTCAAAAATATTCAAGGAGTTTTGGGGAAAATTCAAGGACTTTTCAAGGACATGATGCTTTTTCAAGGACTTTTCAAGGCCCATGCGAACCATGTCTCAGTACATTTCATTAAAGCAAGGTGCACGGTTTTCTTGTTACCTTGGGAGTGATGGATTAAGACATCTCTCTACCATAGAAAGAACAGCACATCGGAGATGATCACTTCTGCGATTGAAAACATAACAGCCTCTTCCTACTGATCTACTTCCAAAACGACAAGACTGCGAAAAGAAGAAATTTGTGTAAGACAATAAATTTCCTGGGGGGTTACCTTCCTGTTACACTGCACAGTGTACACTGTTCAAGGTAGTTCTTACTTTTTCTCTGTGGATGAAATCCTTAACTGTGACCATTTAAACGAAAGCTACAGAGCAGTACTTTCCTGTGGTACTGTTTATTATTCTGTACAAAGTGGTTGTTAGTGTTGAGTCTGGATGAAATCCTAATGTGTGACCATTCAAATGAAAGCTACAGGGCTGATCTTTTCTGTGGTTATGCTACACAAAGTGGCTGTAGTTTTTGAGTTTTTGGAGATCCTAAAGAGTTACCATTTAACTGAAAGCTATCGAGAGGTACTCGTACATGTGGTACTTAATACAAGCATGCTTTTCAGTTTGTGAAGTTTGAAATTTTTCTTGATGTTTTAAGGCAGTGTTGAATGTTGGCAAGTTGACCCAAGGCTGGATATAATACATGTACAAACTGTCACAGAGCAATGTAACGATGAAAATGATTCACTTACTGTCATGGGTCTAGGATGACGATTTAAAGTCATCACCCCATTCAAGGTTGTGGCATTAGCAGGATGACTGTTTTCATTATCATTAGAAGTCTTGACAGCTCCACTTGCACAAACATTTTCATCTGTGAAAAAGGGTAAAAGGTCATTAAAGTAAAGGTACATGATAAAGCTTAAGCAACAAAGACGACCACAACAAGAATGGGCAAAAATGCAATAGGTTTAGATTAGCAAAACTCTGCACATGCATCCTGTTTTTTGTACATTTCTTTGCCCTCATACTGCAACAAGAAACTTCCTGATTTTTACACTTTGATGGGGTTATAAAAGCAAGAAAAGCCTTTTTCTTCTTCTTTTTTTAACTTAGATACAGTCCTTAAGTATTCAACGCCAAAAAAATTCACCAACATTCGACAAAATGAACAACATGGAAGACGAGCAATAAAGTTTAAAACAGCATAATAATATATTAACATTTCAAGAGACATTTTTGAAACTGTCTTCCTCATCATTGTTTACATTATTTCAACAGCAACTACAAAAACCTATTATCGACCTTACAACTGTACACTAGTGAATAATCACAATAAATCAAGGAAATATATTACAACAAAGAGCAAATAAATTCACCTTCTATGGACGAAGATCTCCCAATAGTTGACCTGTTGTCAAAGGCAAGCAAGTTTCATTAAATCTCACACAATACATACTGGTGCGTGAAGACATGTTCACACTTGTTACCCAAGCACCAATATCTGGGTACTGGTACATGTGTGTACAAAGTGGTGTGTTCACACACTGAGTGCCCAATAAGGGCTTCAAATTTCATCATCTTCAAGGTAAGGTCTTATATTTTCAACATCTTCCTGGCAAGATATTGCCAGTGAGGTGATGAAATTTCAAGATCTTGCGGGGAAAATGTTGAAAAACCAGTAGATCTCACTATATGATAACTTGCCCCTGTAGCTCACAAAATGGATAACACACTAAACTGGTGGTCCTGCCCAATAAGTAACCCTGTGCATTTTTACTCTATATCGTTCAGTCAGACATCATTTTGAAATGTGAGCATAGCCAGGAGTTATGAGTATGCAAAGCAGTGAACTGTGATCAAAGTGCACTCAGGTATAAACCAATGTCCACTTTCGTGCCCAGTTTCACGATCTTGACATTACTTTTCTCAGGGAAATGGACGTGTTCACATTGGATCTCAAGCATGGTAACAGAGCACATGGTAAATGAGCAATAAAATAAAACAAAAATAGTGTTTAGCCAACCAGCAGCTCATGAAATTTTAATTCAGACTAAGATAACTTCAGTTGGAATTTAACGTTTATAAATTGATGGGTTTGTGCTGCTGCAGTTGCATAGCAACAAATCATTAAAATACAAAGGTAAACTTTACCAACCTCGAGCTTTCTGAGGAGGTCACCGAGGCTTCAGATGTACTTGTTGTTCTCTTAAGAGTAGCATCTAAGGACTTCTGTGCTGCCTGTTCTTGTAGTTTAAGAGCTTGATTTTGCTGCTGCTCTTTCTCACAATTCACCCGTGCTTTATGTTCGGCAAGCAGTTCATCAAAAGGTTTCCGTCTGCCGGGAACAGCACGCCGTAATGACAGAGCATGTGTCTGAAGGAGATTCATGTTTATATTAGTGTGTTATTTTCTAGCTTTTGGACACTTATATTAACAACATTTACCTTTAACACTCTGTTTGACAATAATAATATTAGTTTTAGTTCCCTACTAGACTTGCAAGATGCTTTAAATTAACCAATAACATAAATAATTTTTTGCATGTAGCTTTGATTTTATTACAACTTCTATTTAATTGTAATTTTTTCTGGATAACCCTCTTCAAACTGCTCAAGCAAGTTATGGGTAACAACAGTACACAGCTATAATGTGGGAAGAGGTTAAGTTTATGGACCGAGACCCTCGCTTGTACTCTCATTGAGTTATAGAGGCTATTCACATAAGATTTCATCCTGACAACATCAACAGAGACTGGAACTGAGAATCCTGAAGCAGGAATGCTTATAATCAGTCAACACAGCAGCCAATCACTACTACAGGGGATCACTGAGGGAACAGTTTCCTCCTCTAAAAATGCCAACAATGCTTTGGATCGAAACCAACCAACCAATCATAAGCGAGGTTCGGGATACACTAGTCACTAACGACCACGGTGGTACAGATAGTCCCACTCAGTAATCAACGCTGTCACCTGATGAAGACCTGCAGCAGCGTGCAAAGAAAGTCGTGTCCTGTAGAGCCCAGGGCTAGTGGATTTTGTTCTCAACTTGCTCGACAGGCAAGTACTGTTTTGGGAGGAAATTCAAATTAAAGATGGATTACAACCAATCCTGCTAATCGAAAAGGGTTCTGGGGCTGGTTGAAATGACTTGTGGGCTAGTACATACTAGCTACAGCTTGCCTGAATGGCAGGCTGTAAAACTGACTTTCTTTACACCCTGCCTGCAGTATGTGGTTGAAACATTGTAATCAATATCTGAGTGACTGTCGCAAGAAAAAAAAAATAAACAAAACCCTTTACATAACTTTTTTTAACCACCCGGTGATGGAAGGTGAAAATCAGAATTCATCAGGTGGTTGAACCCCTTTAAGTCTCATGAGTGTAAAGATTCAAGTTAGAAGTTAACTAAAATACATTTGACTAACATCTCTGTTCTTACATTTATTGCTTGACGCTATCAAAACTATCCACACTAGCCTTTCTCCTACCTTGCAAGTAAGCGAGCGTGTACACTGCTTTTGAAGTTCCGCTACCCAAACTCCACAATGCTTGTCAGCATCAAACTCTCGTTCTACAGAGAGAGGTGAAATGTTCCTCAAACAATTACAATACTTTATTATTAATAAACACCTAAAGGAGATCAATACCAGCATGGTTCAACCTCTATTAGACCACTAAAATGTACCACTCTAAAACAGGCAGCCATTTATGAAGTACAGTCGACCTCCGGTAACTCGAACCTTCTAACTCGAACCTTCTGCTAACTCGAAGCAATTTTCATTTCCCTTTGGATCGTTTTCTATATAACAATATTTTACCCTTGATAACTCAAACTCCCGATAACTCAAACTTTTTTCTATTTCCCCGGCTTCAAGGTTTAACTTATCAGGAGTCAACTGTATGATGATTTTCTAGTTGCAGTTTAAAGACAATAAAATCATAAATAGACCAGTTCTCCCTTCAAGTCTTGGGGGACTAAAACAAAAGAAATGTACTTTTTTTATTGCTCAGCCTCAAGATGATTTCTTTCGTATTATTCCCCTAAGACTTGGTGTCAAGTTTGAATATTTTTGATATAACAAAATTGGTCTATTAAATTACAGGTGTTAGATCTGATTCAGATGCAACATTTTACCATTAATGCAAATGTTATGTTAGGTAAAACTGTTGTTATTAAATGCCTTTTCCTTTTTCCTTCTATCCTTCTTCTTCTGCTGCTTTTTTCTTACGCAGTGCCCTAAAGGGCCCACTCGACTTAAAACAACAGTGAAATTAAAAGCGCACACTCTAATAATTTATAGGAAATTCCTCTTTTTTAAGCTTATCCTTGGATCATTGCATCACATGTGCAATCTAGAATAAAGCAAACAATAGCACAGGTCACCCACACTGCAAGGCTGTCACTAAGCGGGGACGGGGATTCCCCCAAGCTACTATACTGACAATAGGCATGAACCCTGGCTACTTTTATAGCAACAAAAGAAGGGTATTTTTCCACTGAGTGAGTGTAACAAAATAAGTGGAAAATGCTTTTCTCTGGGGGCCTGGATATAGGTCATGTGACCAGAAGGCAGGCAGTTGCTTTTGTTGAGTCCGCTGTTACTGACCTTCCCACCCACCCACCCTAAGATTTCAGTTTTGTAGGCTGTTTGAATGTAATGTGCAACTTTGTAATTTTGTTAGTGTCCCAACTTTCTAGGGGTATGTTGTGTGTACATTTTTATGAATTTGGAACGAAGGTCAAGCTGCAGTGGGTGGCTTGGCATGGCTATCAAAATAGAATCCAGAGAACTTTCCAGCAGTTAAATTCCTGGTCTTACCAATTGCATGTATTAGGCAACCTAAAATCTTAGCAACAGCCTTGTATACCTTATTTTTTAAACAAAACATAACACATCTTTAAAGCCACGCTTGCAAACCAGCCTTAAATACAATCGTTAATCTTTTTGAAACATTGATTATTAAAAACTACTTGATAGTCACGGACAACCTACCTCTTGTTGGAATCTGTTTTCTTGGAGATTTTTTATTATTTGAAGCTTTTTCAGCAGAATTTTTCTTTAATACATTATTAACAAGAGTGTCCGTTTTAACAATAGTGGAGTGACCATGATTGAATAATGGCACTGTCAGTGGCATTTCCTCAATTTTTACTGTGGCGTCCATCAGTTCAATATTCTGATTGGTGATGACTGAGTCTAGAACTTTTCCTTTCCTTGAGCCTGATTGGAGAAGTGTCTCTACTACAGCACTTGATGTCGTTACCATGTCAGGAGAGGAGGGGGTGGGGACAGGTATGGTCTTCTTATGATGGAGCTCTACAAATAATGGAGGTGAAAAAACAATGGTTACCAAAGTGTAGTCAACTCTTTCTGAACAGACACCTCTCCATGGTTCATACAGAATTTTCTGGGAAAAAACCAAGGACTTTTCAAGGACTTCTTTTCCCCAATAACATGAAGTAAAGACCTTTAAAATGTGAAGGTGGAGGGTGGTTCGCTTATTGTAATACCTTCCTTCATTAAGGCACAGTTCCTAGGGTACTTCAAATAACAGAAGATGAACAAAAAACACCAAAATCATAAGAAAACACTTTCATGACCACCAAGAAAATTTGTGTATTGCTGTGTTTTCAATCATTCCTTTGCGCAAACCATTATAATTTTAACGAAGGTTATCTTATTCAAGTCGTTTTCAAAAATATTCAAGGACTTCTGTGGAAAACTCAAGGACTTTTCACGCATATTCCACAATTTTTCAATTTTCAAGGATTTTCAAGGACATGATGCTTTTCCAAGGACTTTTCAGGGCCAGTATGAACCATGTTCTAGGAGACGAACACCTTGGTAAAACAGACACCCACATTTGGTCCCTGCCTTCAATTACTTCCCTTATTTGACTTTTTATAAGACGAATATCAGTCTTAAACAGGCAGTTAGTCCCAGTTATCCCAAAGGTGTCTGTCTTAAGGCTGATTTAGATAGGCTGTACGATTTTTGCTTATGATTATTGTGCACGACTAGCATACATCATTACTTTCGACCATCCACACCCGCAAAATTTTCACTTACGACATCCACAGGTGTCGTGTGAATGTCGTATGTCTAATTTACACGACACAATCTGTTGTGAGGTAATGACGTATGCTAGTCGTGCACAATAGTCATAAGCAAAAAATTGTGCCACCTAAATCATCATTTATGGAGGGTTGAGAGTAGTCAGGGTGTGTTTGTTTAAGGGGCTGGGTTGTGCATTTCTAAAGATAGACCATCTCAAGTTCCAAAAACACTCAATTTCAAAGTAATGCCAAGAGCAACCTTTCAATTCAAAATAAGTTCAATTTGAAAAAAAGGAAAAACTTTTTTTACACCACAGACTATGGGCTTAGCTTCATAATGAAAAAGAGCCCAAGAGCTCCTTGGAAATGGCTTCCTTCAGTGCCTACAAATACTCATATTCAATATCCAAACATTAAAAGTGGGTTACAAAACTAAGGTGCACTTGAGTAGTTTAGACTTTGATAAAGGGGACTGGACATTGGATTAAACACTGGGTTAATTGTTTACAGGGCTTCTGATAGGTTGCAGAAAAAAAGTCAAATTTCACGGGATTTTCAGAGACAGATTTGCAGAAAAATTGGCCCATTTCACAGGAATTTTTGGGGCTAACTTTGCCGAAAAACAATCGGAACATAATTTACCCCTTAAGAGTCGTGGGACGTTGTTTGCTCGTGATTCAAGATAAATCTGCAAGATTACGGCAATTTAAAAACCCCAATAGCTGAGATAAGATTCAAATATGTTGTATTTAACAATTATTCCACGAGGGCACGTTGGATATGAGATGATCGATAGCCAACGAGGCGCATAGCGCCGAGTTGGCTATAATCATTTCATATCCAACAAGCCCGAGTGGAATAATTGTTTTATTAAAAACGCCCACAAAATCTCGTTGAATCGCCCCGACTAGAACAAACCGGAAAAGACAAGGGACTTCCGCTATTCACATGTTACACGTCTATCAAAACTGTCAACGCACGAATGGACTGGCCTAGACTGCATGAATGAAAAATCAAAACATTGTAGCGATGAACATTAGTTTTTTAAAAATTCATAGTGATTCTAGGATTTTACACAGCAGAACAGCTGAAAAAACCTGGCAGATAATGTGAAGGAAAGGAATTTTAAGTGACAGCCGTCGAAATTACTATGAATTTGGATTTTCGGTGCAGTTATAAAAGTAAGAACAACGGAGAAAAACTACCGGTATTACCTCGGTCGCTTGTTATGAAGTTGTTTGAAGCCACAAGCTGGTTTTGCTGAACGAGAAAAGAAGCTATACTGCCGCCTCGATTGCTCTAGTGAATGGCTGCATAGACTGTATTTGTAGCTCGTTACTTGTGATTTATATTCTTGATGTCGGATAAACAAGCTGCAGTTATCTATCGGCGAGTGACTCGATCGGCGAATGGCTTCGCGATCATGAAGAAACAACACTTGTCTTCTTTCGTAGCTGGTCAAGGTACTTTAGTTCCATGTGTTTTCATGTGTTTTTCGACAAACTTTCAAACAAGCTCTTGTGGCTTTTTTGTTTGTTTTTGTCTTTTTTCTTTCGATGAAATTGCATTTCTAGTATTCTAAGAAATGAATTAAAACAATTTGCTTCGGGCGCCGTTCTATCCTTCGCGAAAAAAAATCTCAGCTAGCTTCCAATTTTAAACTGACGCGTACACCGACCATATATGGAGAACATGGTATATTAGCTCATATACCATAACGGCTAAGCCAATCAAAATGCTAGAATTGCATTATCCAATGATTCAGTTTTTAATAATGACATTTATACAATGATGTGAATGCTATGCGAGCTGTGATTGGTCATTGCCCATGATCTATTAGAGTACAGATACATGGATGACGTCACGGGAAACTTGTTTTCTTTGTTTTGTTCAACGTGGCACGCGGTTTTGAAAATGTTTGTGAGATTACTTCGGATTGAGGCAAGTGAAAGCTTCGGAAAAAGTTTAGCAGGAGCTATTTACAAAGAAGAAAAATGGAGAAACGGAGACCAAAAAAGCTATTGACTACTTGACAATGCCTAAACTACAAGAAATCTTCACAACAGTTGCCATCGTGTGTCTTTGCTACGAGAGACTTGCTGTTTTGCAAATTGTTTTCGCTATTATTCTTCTTTGAGCAAGAAAAGACGGTGAAAAACGTTTCGAAGAAACTGTACACAAGTAAGATAAAGAAGAAGCTAAGATGAAAAGTTGTGTTTGGGACTTAAAAAATGCCTAAACTAGCACAAATCCTCAAAAGGTCAAGCGGTTCGAGGCAGGTATGTGTATTGGTCTTTTTCTTTTCTGATCATTGTATAAAACAAATAGATTCCATGTTGCCGTGGGTCTGTTCAGTAATAGATCACAGAGGACGTCAAAATGTGGTAAAAACAACAGTGACACACTCGCCTGCGCCTCGTATGCCACTTCTTTGTTTTTACGACATTTTGACGTCATCTGTGATCTATTACTGAACAGACGCACAGCAACATGGAATCTATTTGTTATGTATTAGATAAGATTTATAGTGAATTTTGGGGTATTTTGCACGTTTTTGTGAATTTTGCAGATTTATCTGGATTTTACAGCCCCGCGACCGCGTGCAGTATCAGAAGTCCTGTCAATAATAAATTCTTGAAAAATATTCAGCGTGAACGTTTGCAAGATTTTATGGTAATTAGGATATAATATCCAAACTGCTATCAGGATAGGTATTATTATGCAACCACTAACTAAGAACCAGATGAACTTTCGCACAAAAACCATGATATATTTACATCTGAAAATAACACGTCGTCGTCACAGGTGAAGAGAGCTCCATTGCAATGGTTACATGATAAATTGCTCCTTTCACAGTGAAAAGAGAAAGAGAACAGGTTTGGTATTTCACTGTAATGTTCTATTTAATAGAACATTACATGGCCGCTTGTAGATACAAAATTTCACTTGTTAGCGTATTTTTAAACACACAAAGAGAAATTTTGTATTTCCACACGGCCACGTTGAATCTTCTTTGTATCCTCAACATGAACTAATAAAGAACTGAAGATTAAGCCTTTCATCCTCAATAGTGGCCAACAAAAAATCCACAAAAAAGGTCCAAGTTTAAGGGTTAAAAGATAATGTGCCAAATAACATGGTCCAGGTCAACAAATGTAAGAATTTAATGGAAAATTAGAACAGATCAAAAGAACAGAAAAGACAAAATAAAAATAGATTAAGAGTCAGGCAGAATTAGAAAATTTAACCCAATATTTGTTTCATTACTTTATTTCAGTTTGTATGTTGTGTGATTTATTTATAGCACTCAGGCATCATCTTTCAGATCACCTTTGTTATGTAGCTGTAATTTTGTCAATAAATTGGAAGTTTAGAGCTTGTAAGTAGTGGAATTTTGTGACAAATAATAATAATAATAATAAATGTCCTCTAGCCACTTTAAGCTCCCCTTTGGAAAAAGAAACAAATTTTAACATATTCACTTGTTGTTAAACATTTGAAGAAGATATCTTGAAACAGACACAGTATTTGTTTCTGTTACTGACTCCCTTTTATGTCTGAAACCTGAGAAGTTGTTGACCAAAGCTTGTCCAAGGGTTTGCTCAGGCACTTAGAATCATGTTTAATGTAAGTGTATCCTGAAGCATCAAACTGGTACACACTCAGTTCTTTTATTTATTTATTTTAAAGAATGAGAGCATTTATGAAATTGTTTTGATGGGAACTATTTGATATCTCTCTACTTGAACACTCAGTGTTCACTCTAATAGATTTCCCATCTTCAACTATGCATCAACAAGTAATTTTGTTACATTGTCTCACAGGCGATAAAAAGTATATTTGCCATTTAGAAAACAAAATTTTATCTCAGCGAGCTTGTTAAAATAAAAAGAGCACAGAGACCACTTTGAAACCAGGAAGTAAAATAATATCACAGTTGGTCAGAGATACTAACTATATGACCAGGAAAGACTAAATAAACAGACAAAATTAAAAGCACTATTAATTGAACATTTGTATTGATTCAATTTAAAAACCAAGCAAAAAGTGTTTATAATTCAGGATTTTAAGATAATACGGAAACAAAAATATATAAGTTAATGTTTCAAACTCGCAAAGTTTGAATTTCAAATACCGCTATGTTTTGGTTCTAAGGCTGAAAGTGACACGATGTTTAAATGACAATGTGAGGAGTCTTTGTCACAACGCGTTGAGTCGATTATTAAACGCATTAAAGTGAAAATTTTTTCATGAAGGAACTTACCACAATGCCGTAACAATGCCGATGCTTTCACCACGCGACCACACTCCTTGCACACAACAAGGATAATTTCCTCTTGTTCTGGGCAAATTCCGAACAGGGTCATATCTGTAGATCAAAGCGTGAAGCATATAAAGTTAATCATGTCCTGCTTACATTATTAATAAACGTGTAAGCCACTCCAAAACTTAAAGCATGTTTGGTTTCGAGCTGCTTATGTGAAACAAAACTTAAATTCTTCTAATCTATGTTAAATGAGCCACAGATGAACAGCCAAGTACATCTCAGACAGCGATCTGTTTGGGGGGTGCACGTACATAGGCAGTCCACACGATTGTCCCATGCTAATTACTTTCAACCTGCGAGTAACAGAACCCAATAGTAGTAAATTTTGCCCTGGGCGGAAACAACTACCTGGCATTTTGTGCAACAATATCTCATTTTTCCAAGTAAGTATAGCTTTTAAAAGTCACACTCATTACCTTCTTGGTGCAATCGGGTGGCTTCTACGGAACCCAAACCATTGTTTTCGTCCACTTCCATTGCTATAGTGGAAAGAATAACACACGGTAAATCCCCTGAAAAAAGTTTTCTTGGCATTTTTTCACGCAATTGCGGCGACAGATAGAAAGCACAATAGCTGTACAAACCTTCTGGCTCCTCCATGGGCGAATCTTCTTCGAAGGAACTCCATGAGCTCCCAGAAAGTAAAGAATGACAGTCTATTTTCGCCATTACAACTTCATTCCCGCTTGTTGCTTTCCATCAATTCCGTGACGTCACTGTCGTAACCAGACGTAAGGTCTCGGAAAATTCCGATAGCTTCCGAACTGAAAATGACAAGTCCATATGATGAGCTCGAGAAACAATTCAATTTTCGATGATTTGGTGAAAGAAATAGGAAAAATAAAAGTGACTGAGCCTAATGAGAAGAGATAAAATGTAATCTTTAAAATCAACGGTGATCAACACCGAGATGTTTTTAGCTGAAAGCTGTTAAATGACGAAGAAAGCAAATAGAACCATTGAACGCGCGGCCATTTTGACTCACTATAAACAATCAGGCAGTCAAATAAAATACGACAAGAATAACGCATCACCTACCTTAAAATAAATAAGCTCATACACTTCCGATCAATCCATTACATCAATTAAACACCCATCATAGCGTATCATGTAAATTTGTTCTGACAAATTGATTCCGCCATTTTGTTCAAGCATCGGAAGTGTGCTGCGGGCGCTAATAGTAACAGCGGTGTGACAACAAGCTCATGCTCAGAGAGGGAATTTTAAAAACATGGCGGATGAAATTGTTTTGAGTTTTCAAGACAGTCTTCTTCGTCAATCAGATCTAAGATTGCTGGAAGAAGGTCGGTGGCTAAACGACAGACTTATAGGATTTATGTTTGAGTATGTATTTTCTTCTTCTCTTCCAAAAATGTACAGAAGCGAATTTTTGCTCGATAAGTCTCGTTTCTAACCGGTCGAAAGTTAACTTGTCTTTTTGTAATTTTCAATTTATGAACGATACCGGGAAAAGATATTGAATTTGTACAAAGAGACAAAATCTAAGATTTACAGCCGAGGATGTAGCTGTTATTTAATATTTTGTTTAAAGAACGAATGCATGTGTGACCGGTCAACATGCGAGTCAAGTTTTTTCGCCAGTCAGTCGCCATTCTGGCCGGACATTGGGCTATTACATTTAATATTCGTACCAGCCTTCCCCCCCGGCTTGAGGACTTACCATTTCTTCTTACCCTTGAAGACTTAAAATTTGGGGCTCACCCCTGAAGAATACGGGTTTACCTCTGAAACATTTCGTAAAAAGTGATTTTTCCTTGTTCACCCCTGAAGATCAAGATTGTGTTAGAAATTAAAGGTTCAACCCCCTCAAAATTCCATACTCTTTTTTAAAATTAACTCCTAAAGAAATCGTCAATTTTTATAACTTATCCCAGAAGAATTTCATTGGACCTCAATCAGGGGAGAAAGAGGGTAGGTATTACAATTAATGCAATAGTCCATTGTCTGTTTACTGGCAGGCAGGTACAAAAGTCGGACCGGATCAACTCGGACCGCCAGTCCGGGTCGGATCAACTCGGATCAACTCGGGCCAACTCGGATACAATAAAAAAATAAAAATAAAATAAAATTGGACTCGGATCAACTCGGAGCAATTAAAAAAAATAAATTAAACCAGCAAAACTGAAAGTTTAACCCATTTGGAGGGTAAAAAAGGCTAGATCATCCTTTTTTTCTCCGTGGCTTTCAGGCGCCATTTTGTTTTACTAGTGCCAGTTCCTCTCGGATCATGTTATAAACTCGTGGTTGTGGTTCGACAGTAGAGAAACGATAGTTTCAGTCGCCTAGAATGTATATATTTGCTTATTTATTAGACTACTGAATTATTTATCAGAAAAGCATCAAAAGCCTGGTCTGTTGATCGCATTTAGATAGTTACCGAAGAGTGTTTGTTTGTTTGTTCCTGTTTTTTTTTTTCTGCAGGACTTCTGAAACTTAATTTTAATGATACACTAGTGAGCAGCACACGTACATTTCCAGTGAACATTTTTAACTTGGAAGGAGGAGAAACCATGCTCGCCCTGGACAAAGGAAATTTCCATGCCCTTGGCAAGAATCAAACTCGCGACCCTCCGGTTCAGTGGTTGAAAAGCCCGATAAACATGTAGTATTCGGAGGGTCGTGAGTTCAATGCTCGCCTGGGGTACGAAAATCTTTGTTGTCCCGGGCGAGCATGATTTCTCCTCCTTCCAAGTTGAAAATGTTCACTGGAAGTGTATGTGAGCTGCTCACTAGTGTATCATTAAAATTAATTAAAATAAAAATAAAATTAATTTACGCAACCACGAGTTCGTGAGAAAAAAACGAAATGGCGGGTGAAACTTGAGTGATACCGACTGATATTTTTCTTTTTATAATCTGAGTTGTTTTTTTTTTTATGATCCGAGTTGATCCGAGTCCAATTTTATTTTAGTTTTATTTTTTCATTCGATCTGAGTTGGTCCGAGTCGATCCGAGTTGATCTGACCCAGACTGGCGGTCCGAGTTGATCCGGTCTGACTTTTGTACCTGCCTGTTTACTGGCCATTATTTTGAGCCTTGGCTGCCTCCACTATGGTGGACAGAGGAAATTGGCGGTGTGCAATAAACACAGACCACAGACTGGCAAGTAGACAAAGTAACCATTGTTGTAGAATGCTCTAACATATTCCCTATCCCTAAACTAGACTTTTAAATGACTAATAGTGACCAAAATAACTTTTCTTCAAACGACATCCATACATTGTCAAGAGATAAGGTTATAAGAACAAATAAAATGATCACCAAAGGGAAAATGCTTTGATCTTTTATCAAATTCTCTCAACTCATTCTTCAAGGAAATGTATAGAGATCAGTTTGGAGAATTTGTATGTTGATATTGGGGCTTAAAGGGTCAAAGCATTCCACAACAAGGTTTTCCTCGTTTACCTGACAGTCTTCTTTTGTCGCACACCGGGAAATTGGCCATTGTAGAGAGGTGGCTGTTGGTAGAGGTTTGACTTAAAGTTTTATCTATTAATGCCACAGTTAATTTGATTTGATTGTAGTTACTTTACTCATCATCAGTTTGAAAAGATTTCACAAGATGTGCTTTTTATCAGTCCTGATGTCACACAGTTCTTGAAGCTTGCTGAAGGTAGTAACAATCTTACTACTATAGAAATAGTAACAATGATAAATTTCAAGCAAATGATAACAGCTACATGTCATTAATGTATATGTTGTAGTTAATTTTTTATCCCAGGTAATTTTTAATTTTCCATTGTTTTGGGGTATGGTAATATATGTCAATAAATTTGAAACAAAGGAAAATAAAATTTGAACCAAGGATTAAATTGAACCACAACAAATCAAGTGGAATCCTTTTCTTAGGCCTGTTCCCGGTAAAACTTTATGATTTCATCCACAGACTCAAAAGTCAGAACCACCTTGCACAGCATGATAAACAGTACCACAGGAAAGTACTGCTCAGCAGCCCTCATTTGAATAGTCACACTGTAGGATTTATTTCTAGATTCAAATTTAGAAGTATATTGTATAGCTCAGTATCATTTATTTGACTCAAGTCTATTAAAAAAAATAGGATCACTTCCAACAGCTTTACAAACAGTACCACAGGAAAGTACTGTTCAGTAGCTTTGACTTTATGGCCACAGACTAGGATTTCATCCCACAGACCAAAATGTTGGAACAACATTTTTTCTTCATAGGCCCAGCGCACCAAAAAATCTTGAATTCCAGCAAGCAGCCCTCTCATTTTGCTTGTTGGGGTCAGCCTACTTGCTAGTCTCAGGTATTGATTTAATTGGAAGATGACTTGTCTCGACTGGAGCTTTTAGAGTTTTACATGTACTTGCCAACCAAGAGAAACATCTTATCTTGGATGACCAGATGGGACTTTTTCAAGTCCTGAGGTCTCTTGGAAATGAATTGGATGAAAACTGTAATTTTTATTATTCATTAATTTTATTTCCTTAGGTGTTGATATTGGAGATTTCATTGAGCCCTTAAATATTCCAAGTCATAAGCTTGTGTTCTTTGCTGTGAATGATAATGAATCAACAAATTCTGTTGGAGGATCTCACTGGTATACTGTCTTTATACTTATCTTTGACTTTCTTTATTTACAAGAGCGAGCGATTTGGGGTTAATTTTGTGACAAATAGTTGTGGTTAATCCTGGGACTCATCTTTAGAAAAATCATGAGTCGCTGTCCAGAACCATTGAGTCTCAGTTTAAACGACAAGTCCTTGGGTTTTTATGTAACCACATAGTTAACTAAATCTAAAGACAGTCTCCAAAATTCTGTTTTACAGTTTACTGACAGAAATAAAAATATGCTCCTTCTTTTGTCAAGCACAACAAAGACTCAAAGAAATATGAGTCAACGTGCAAAGAAAGTCGTGTACAATAGCACGGGGCTAGTAGATTTTGCTATTGTGGTAGTGATTTTTGTTCTTAACTTGCCCAACGGTTCTTAACTTGCCCAACCTCTTGCTCTTTTGACATTCTCATAGCCTGCATAGCAAGCGTTTCTGTTTTGTCTTTGAGCAAAGAATGAGGAATGAGAGTCAACTGCTGCGCAAAAAATGGCGCAAGTAAAAGAACGGGGAGGGGGTGGGGAGGAAAGGAAGGAAACGCTTGCAGACAAACCCCTGGATTTTGAAAACTGCCCACTTGGCCTGTCATGCCTGAGTTTGTGCACTGACATTCGATGCTGTCATCAGCTGTCATAATTCACTGACCAATAAAATGTTTGGCCTTCCTTGGAGCGGAAATGAACTTTAGAGGACGCATGTGTGAAACCAAAATAATTAATGTTATTTTTTGTATTTTGGACTGCGTGGACGGCGCTAATGGTGAAATCTCAATGAATCCAAACGATCAATGCAGGCTTTGCTCGTTTGTTCTTTTAATCCGTCTAAAAGGAACGACCACAAGGGTGAAGTTTTGAAGTTTTTGCTCAAAACGGAAAGTTGGATTTGAAGGGTGAAATGTGACAAGCATTCAAGTGAAGTATTTTCGATCCGCGACGCATATTTATACAAGTTCAAAGCTCAGCTAGACAGAATGTCTTACAGTTCTCGCCACGGCACAGAAAACTAGAGTAGCCCTTGTAAAAGGATCTAAGAACAAAGCTAACCCGGCAACTGATCAGAAAGTGGCAATAAAAGAGGGCCACTTTTGCTCAAAAGAGGTCAAAGAAAATGCTCTTGCAATCGAGGGCAAATCTTGTGTCACTTACCATACATGACCTCTCAGTATGAAAAAAATCTTTGATTGACACATGTCAATATTGTTGGACTAGCCGAGCCAATCAGGCACTGCATTCACTGGCGAATGCAGACTTTCAAAATGGAGGGCTTTGTCTGCAAGCGTGTCCTTCCTTCCCCTCCCCTCCCACCTCTTTCATTTTTTAGCTCTCGTTTCATTTCTCACGTGGTCAAAACCAAAACTCCCCTTCCTCTCTCTTCTTTGCTCTGAAACTAAACGTCATTGCCATTGCTGTTTTTATAGCTTAAGTTCCATAGAACTGTGATTACAACTTGATTACTTATGTCAAATTTTCTACATTTATTTCAGGAGTTTGATTTTGTATAAAAGACAAACAAATAGTTTTCATCATTATGACTCCTCCACTCCGTTTAACATGTCAGCTGCCAGATCCCTTGCCAAAAATGTGGAGCCCTTCTTACTTGGTAAGCTAGGAAAAAGACCAGATTTGTTTAGTGTTATAAAAAAATGAGTTTTTGATACATGTATTTTGTGTAGGAGGAATTGGGGAGGGGGGTTGGAAAATGGGAAAACCACCTAGAAGAATTTTAAAAAAAAGTTAAAATGGCATCAAAATGACCCAAATATCATTGTTAAATAACCTCAAACCCAAAATCTTGTTAAAGCACAACACAGCTGGTTGAAATAAGATTTCCTCCAAAACCACACCAAAAATAATGCAATGTGGTGGCATAATTTTAATAATAATTGATGTAGTTAATTTTCATTTGCACCTATAGGGTTAAAAAGAAATGTGAATTTTCAGCTTGACCATCTTGTCCTTTGGGCAAGCAGCTCTCTCATTTTGCTTGCCCATTGTGCCACTTCGTGCTCCTCTTAGTTAATGATGATTTAGTTAGAACAAGATGATTGGCTTAGACCCTTGCCCAGGGAATTTTAAAAGTTAATTTGTCCAGCAAGAAAATCCTACCTGTCCTGGACAACTATATGGGACTCTTTTTGAGCCCTGACGCTAATGTCAAATGCACGAAACATATGAATAGCTGCAAAAGAGCCTTAGTTACTTTTGCACTGGTCATACGTGGAACTTTTGTGTAAGTCGTGAGAAAGGTCTGAAGCCGCACATATGCCAACTCTCCCAGATTATCTGGGAGTTTCCTGGATATGGCACCGATCTCCTGCTCTCCCATACTGGTCACCCAATCTCCTAGATTAAATCATCTTTTGAACTTTTCTGTGCTTTAGTTTGAGATTTAGCCCATTTTCCCCTCAAAATTTTTGTTTTTCATCTATAGTACGTTTTCTCGGGCATTTTTGCACATATTTAATCTAGTCTCTAATAAAGACTTTTCCACATTAAAACAATGATTGTGAATTTTGATAGTATGTAATTCATGTAAGACTTCATATAATGTCCTAAGCCATTCCCATTCAGGCTGGGTCAATTGGTTGGGGAAGCGGGAGGGTAGTTGGGTTGACATTCGGGGGTGGGGGGTAGATTTTAGATCTCCAGAGGTTGGCATCTTTGTGAGCGAGAGTCTAGCCTGAGTATCAGGTGTTTCTGGGGAAAAGGGGAAAAATGGAAGCGAAAATCTAAAATCTCCTCTCCCCTAACCCCGTAGGAAGGCCTGATACTCAGGCTAGCGAGAGTCACAAGTCTGCATGTAGCTTAAGATTTTTCCATTTACGTAGCATCGATATAGGAATAGCTTGTATCACTGATCAGTTTAAATCCCCTATTACAGTCAAGGACACTCCATCATTCATTGAAGACAAGTGCCCCCAACAGCAAAATGGTGAGTTACTTTTAATTAATATGCTTAATTTTACTACTATAATTTAATTTTGTGTGTTGATTTATTTTGATTTTAATAAAAAATGTAAGAAGCACAGTAATATAAACGGACAAAGTTTACTATTAAAATGGACAGGTAGGATCCACAGTACATGTAGTTTCAGTGAACTTTTGGTCTTGAGACACAAGATCCACAAAGTGAAATGAAAGCAAAAATTCACTTTAGTTTATTTATTTGCTGATTCAACAGGTTATGATTGTGGTGTTTATGTCATCACTATTACAGAGGAACTTTGCCAAAACTTTCTTGGTAAAAGAGACAAAGCTCTCACTGACACCATGACTGCAAAGGATATCACACAAAAAAGAGAATTATTAAAGAAACTTATACTTAATCTTGGCCAGGAAAAGACTTAAAGCTAAAAGTCTTGTAAACAAAGTCAGTTAGAAAAAGTACAACAAACCTTCCGAATTTGCAATCTGCTCAAAAGATGGCAAACATCTTATCCTTAAGTTAAATTAAATCTCCCTTTAAGTAAATTCGCCTTCTCTGACAATTCAGCTTTCTTCCTACAGAAGCTTTTGCTTATTTGAACAATGTATACAAAATGGTCGCATTAGCCATGTACAATAACCCAATGAGTGACCAACATCAATTTTCTCCTAAGTAACAATATCGAGAAAAAAGGTTTACGAGAATTAATAAAATGATTAGTAGGAAAATGCTTGATCTTTCAACAAATTCCAGCTATCAGCTAATTTTTCTAGGAAATATATGGACATCAGTTTGGAGAATCTGTATGTAGATATTATTGCTAGCTGGCGGTACAGGGGGTCTGTATACAGGCTAATTAGAGCTTAAAGGGTTAAAAATGAGAAATCATGTTGTAGTTGAAAGAAAACGTACAAAAAATTAGGCTAGAAAATATTGCGTTAAATGGCAAGTCAATCTGCCAACAAGATGGCCACCGACTTGGCCAATAAAAAAAGACAAAAAATTGAGTCGAAAACTCTAAACGAACGGTCACGACGTATTACAATTACAGTGATCGCTGCTAGGCTGCCCACCCCTTTTCCAACAGCATTTACTACATTTACTCGCAGTTTCTTCTCATACTCTAGCGGATTTCCCCAAGTACTAAGAAGATATTTACCACGTTCTAGGGTAAATTTTTTTGCCAAAAAAGAAACGGTCAGATAAAGTGCAGCGACTGCATAAAACGCTGGTGATTTAACTTTACATAAAAGTAGGTAAAAATAATCCACAGATGGATGAAGTATCCCCTTCACAGCCAGAAAGGTTGTAAGAAATAAAACTTATATAAAAGTCCTCATTTAATGAAAGGTCTGGAACAATCTTCAAAGCAAAAATGCTTTCCGGAGTCGCTTACAAACTCACATTGGAGTTGCATATGCACCACATGACCAAGCTCTCACAGTTGTTTTCTGTCACATGGTAGTGTGCTTCACCAAGTCTTTTAGCGCCCTCCATGTAATTTTCTCTACACTGTAACGCCTCAGCTCATCTGGCGAAAAGACTCTTTAGTCTTTTCACCTCCACTCCCTACTTTTGAAGATTATCTTCATCGATGTAGTCTGGAAGGGTCATAATATTCACTCTTGCAAGGCTCGGATGTGTCAGTGAACAGCTAAACATTCGTCTAAAGTCCCCTTTTTTCGTAGCATTGTAATGGACGATGAATGGCGCTCCTCTTTCGTTGTGGCCAATGCAAAGAAAATGGTGTTCAAATTTCTGCAAACCCATCATTGTTGAACTTGCGCGAACAAGATGGTCGCCCTTTTGTTTGTCCTAATAACCAATAAATTGGTTCCCTTGTTTGGGGGTAGGGATTCAGAAACTTTCTCTTCCGCGAGGAAGGCAATTTGTCAAATTGTTTCCACCTAAGCGATAAAAGTTTTGGCATACCTATGTCTGATGTTGGTTTGTCTGTCTGTCCTCTTAAGAGCCGTCTATGCGCCGCGATCTTTTTAATTTTCTTTTTGCCCTTCTACATAGCAATTCAAGCACAAATCCTTTAAGGAACCCGAATGCAAAAGAACTAATACAAACACCATCACTCTTGCCTTTGTTTATTTCGTTTCGTAAGCTGTAAACCCTCAGTCACGTTTGAAACGACGTAAAATACTGGCGTTGCTTAGAACATTCTTAGAAGGAGATAGAAGGACAACAAATCGCTCATCACTGATTGGCTGGAAAGTCCAGCTGGATCAAAACTTCAGACAGGTCATGCTTTGTTTCTTAGAAACATAAATTGACCCTGTCACTAGTCGCGATTCGTGAATATATTGAAATTTTATACTGTGAGAAATTGAAAACCAAATGGAATCAAAGAGGTTTCATCTGAATGGTCAAACCATAGGTTTTCCTCTACTTACAGTCGAACCTCTTTAATACGGACATCGAAGGGACAGAGCGAAGGGTCCGTATTAGAGAGGTGTACGTATAAAAGAGGTCACTACGATGACGTCACTTTTATAACTTCGCTTACAGTTTTAAGCGTTCAGTAGCTATATTTAGGCTTATACTCGTCTTTAAACTGCATTTAAGTTTATTAATTCACAGTAAAAAGACACTGTCCTTCAGTATCATACAACATTGTACATATCAGCTACATACGTACAGTCGTAGACAAATCACTTTTTTAAGACGAAACGAGCCACAGCGCAAAGCTGCTTTTAAAAAGTTGTAATGTAAAGGACAATTCTGAGAGCGTCTTTCGCTATTTTGCAAGTGCAGTAAACAGTAACTAGAGTACAAAGTGTAATAAAAAAGATCTTTATTCTATCTGTAGTTATTCAAGCCTCAAAAAAGTCGGTTTTGTTTTGGCAATTTTACTATTTTTAAAACGGTCTTTTCAGTGGTGTCGACGGAGTTTCCTTAACTGGTCCATATAAAAAGTTGGAAAAACCGTGAAAAGGTCTATTAAAGTCCGGTTTAGATCGTTTTATTACCGCGTGAATTAATATCTTTGTCCGCGCGTTCTATTTTCATCCTCATAAAAGTGGCTTAGACCCGGTTCAGACGCCGAACTTTTCTTGGGCCGAACCTAATACAATGAATTAAATCAGTCCTGATTAAATACATGAAAAGTTCGGTGTCTGAATCAATTAGAAATTTGGAACGGCTCAGCCGTTCTTTTCGCCTAGCCCGGCCGAAAATTTCGCCTTTGGAGCACCTTTGGAACGGCTTTGATTCAGGCGCTGAACTTTTCATGTTCCGAACCTAATGAATAAATTATTATAACGTATTTTGTAAGCAGTTTGACCGAAATGAGCATTTTCATCTTTTGACCTTAGTTCAGCTGCAATTAACACCGGCGTCTGTATCAATTCAGGCAGTCTAAATTAAAACAAATGAAAAAAGAAATAGATGAACTGAGTCTTGAATTTTTCAAAAACACAAGGACGTGACCAGTGATGAATTAAAAAATAAGAAAAACAAACACTGAAAAATGTGATGTCTTCTCAATTTTATTATCCAATCAACTCAGTATAGCTTCTTCAACACAACCCTGAGTGTATGTTCATTGTTGCAGTTTATTTTTTATCTGATGTCACGTAATTTTTGTTTTCCTTCGTTTCAACTTCGTTAGCATACATTACCGTAGCCTACAACAAAGGAAAAAATAAAAATTACCTGAGATAAAGAATTAACTGAATTTTTTAATACAATCAACCATAGCGGGGAAAACCCCTGTGTATTTAATGTGATGTCATTCCAGTCTATTTTTATCCATCAAATATAGCAGGAAAAACCCTGCTTGTGGAAACAGAACAAAAAAATTATCCTTTCTTTTAAAAACACAACCTTGGGTACATATTAAACGTATTTAATGTGACGTATTCTCAATTTTTTCCCATCCACTCCACTATAGCGGGAAAAAACCCCTGCTTGTGGAAACAGATAAAAGCAGATGGTCCTGTCTTAAACACAGCCTTGGTACATAAAACGTGTTTCATGTGTTTCTCATTTGTTTTTTTATCCAATCAAGTATGGCGGGAAAAACCCCTGCTTGTACAAACATTTCAAAGAACGCTGAAAATTAATCGATGTTCATTACTGATCCGAGAAGTTTTCATTCTTCTTTAGTGGTTTAAATAAGGTATAAGGTCCTTAAAATCTCCGAAACCCGTTTCTAACAATGATCATAGTGCATCATCTTTTTGGCATATTTTATTCGAATGCTTGCTACGTTTTTGGTTTAATAAGGTACAAAAGTGTTTATAATGGTATCGCTGAAGTGGCCTAAAGGTCACAAACAGAATGCTTGTGAAGGGCCGCAGTCGAAACTAAGCCTCTGGTTAAGTTACTAAACGGGGCAAGACAACGTTTGGTGACGTAGCCGAGGTAGGAAAACACCAAGGGGTTTTAACGTACTCTCACAAGGCGGTTAGCGTGAGGATTCCTCGAAAACATTTCCAAGGTCTTAACTGATTTTGTTGCTTAAAATCAGGCAGCATAGGTACGTATTTGGAGTCACTTGAAGGCAAGGAAAATATTTATAATCTCAGTGGAATGTGACGAATTTTTCTAAAATTAAACGGGGAAATCCTAGCCTGCGAACAACAGACGCATTGCGACGACCGGAAATGCGTCTGCTGTTCGCAGGCTGGGGAAATCCCTGTCAGCGGTAAATAAATTAAAGTCTTCAGATAGAGTCTTCAAATAGAGCCTCCAGCCTCGCAGGAGAAACGCCGCTGAACTTTCGTTTTCTAACCAATTCTTCTAAACAAGACATGGAGCGAGCCTCTGTAGAGATTTGGAACTGGATTGAGGGACTTTCAACGGATAAGCAAAAACATCTTCTGCAATGGCAACTGCAAGCTAGAGAACAAATTCACAGCTTTAAGGACGTACGACTTGGCGATCATCTGGTAAGAAAAGATTCCTTCCTTGGGCTGGTTCGGTACGAGCATCATTTTATCTGCGTCGGTCTCAACGGTGAAGGCAAGCCGCTGATTGTACACTACTACAATACACCATGGAAAGCCACCGCTCAGTTGATCCCTAGTATCTCAGGCTGTGGTTCTCCCATTGAACAACTGGCAGCGGTTCAGGAGATGTGTATTGAAGAGTACGTCAGCGAAGCCAAGCTGCAAACGGAGGGAAACGAGGTGGCAAGAGTTGTGTGGCCAGAAGAACTGCTCCGGTATCCTCCAGAGGAAAGGGCTAAAAGAGCCAGGGAAAGGGCTAGGAAAAAAGAAAAATGGTACGATTTAGTGAAGAATAACTGCGAGACCTTAATCATGTGGTGCTTTTGCGATTTACAAATCAGCCTTCAAGTGACCGCTGCTGTTCATCATTTTCGTGAGGTTATTGGCGGTGGATATAATTCTCTTAAACATGTACTTCAGCAACTTCCAAAAGCACTCTTTGAACAGTTTGGCGACGACATTATACTTCTTGCGTCGTGGTTAAAGCCCGTTGGAGCAGCTCTTCCGAAAGGATTCGGTTTCTACGTCGGCGCAGCAGTGTCCATTTTCCCAGAAGCTTTTCTGGCTTATAAAGAAATTATGTCAGCTAAGCAAAAATGGAATGACAGGATTGTCATAACGGACAGAAAAGAGTTTATCAAGGCAGTCATTGATAGTCTTTTGTCAGCTTCTTTTCGTGCCGGTGGAAGTATTGGTGGAATGATAGTTGGCCAGTTGGTTTTCCCTAATCCAGTCCTTGATGGCATAATTAAAGCTGTACTTGGTCATTCATTTGGCCATTTCGCCTCAAAACTGCTTACTGAATTTGGCTTTACAGAATTTCTTGCGGAACATATAGACAACTGGTTGCCTCCTGATAAACCTGCTGATAAACTCGATTAGGAGAGTACTTACACCAATGAGAGTGCCCCTTTCTCGAGGTACTTCATATATCTATCATCACTTGTAACTTGGGAGAGAAGCTAGCAAGCGCAAAAGCGCAAGAGTGAGGCCTTTTCCTTTATTATATACATACTTAGAAACACTCACCTAACATTTATGCCGTAAATTTTCTTCTAATATGACTTGACGCTACCAAATCTGTATTGCTAAGTGTCTTTACTCTCATAGAGACGATTTGGCCGAAAATGTGGGCTTAACCATGCTCATGCATGAAAAAGGTCCACTTCTTGTTGACGCGCGTCGCTTAGAAACGTCTTTGCTTGAGCTCCCTACTGTTTATAACGCACGAACTGGACACGTGCGTTTGTCACCCTTGCGCTCTTCGCGTTCGTTTCCCTCGCTGGAGCGATTTTCGTATGACCTTGAAATCAAAACGCGCGAACAAAACAGAAACATCAACCGAACGGAAATAGAGCAATTTATTTGGTTTATCGAACGGATACAGAAGTGCGTTTCTTTTGGTTGGTTAAGCGAGCGCTCGGGTGAAAAAACTTCATGCCCGAGAACTTTCTAGAAATCAATCGATACTTCGCTTTGACGTCATACTACATCAAGATTGGCCAATCGAACAATGCCTTTTCCATATGAGGGTTTTCTTTGGCGGGAAACGAAGAGTCCACATGTTTTGATCTTTTCATCTGTTGGCTGATAAAACAAATAACGAACACTTACCGAAACCATTTTTCAAGTCATACCAAAATCGCTTCATCTGTCGCGTTCGTTTCAGTTTGTGCTGGAATGCGACTTCCGGTACTCGATTTGCCTCTTTGCCATTTCCGCTATAACTTTGCCTTTAGCCAACAAGAAGATCAAGGCGGATCGAGGTCGTCACTATCGTCAAGTTGTCTTTCCTAAATCTACCTTATAGAAAAGATGATGTGAGCAGTCTGAAACCTCATCGTATGATATTGGAATAGTAGTCCCAAGAATAACACTTTTCTACATTTATCGGCTTGAAGTTATAATTTATGACATTGTAATATGTTCTTATTGTACAGCGGTTGTTAGCTCGATCGAAAGCTAAGCTCCTCTGACCACCGTACACTTCTATCCAAGCCATTAATTTTATTTTTTCCTTCTTCTTCTTCTTTTTTATTAGTGTATTCCTACCTTGCTATATATAATGTAAATATTTTATAAAAGTGTGAATAAAATTGAATTGCATTGAACAGATGGAAACCTAGAAGGGGCTAAACGCAAAGAATCATCGGTAAAAAGTTGAAAAAAAAAAACCACTAAATTTTACCCTCGTTTGTTGAGAATAAGGTTTTAAAACTTTCACCACAGGAGACAACGGGTTTGAATAGTCTGTTCCAAACATTCAGAAATGGACAGCGACGCAAAGAGGGTTAGAGGGAGAAAGAGGGCAAGTACTTTTATGCCCTTCTTTGTTTGTTTATTTTATTTTTCGAATGCTTACTCTACCCACTTGGTTTTCTACCACCTGAGATCCTGGAACAGTCACCTAATGACACCGCAGGTGGGTACTCCTGGGAATTGTTGTTGGGGGGTTGTGCCGCCCGGTTCTCCAAATTCTGACCCTATTTCAGAACAAAAATGTCATTTTCCACACCCGTTTTCAGACCCGGAGGTGGTCGCAAAACGCAACATTACAAGTTTAAATAAAACAGAAATTATGTCATCATTGCAACAAAAATATTTCTTAAAATCCATTTCGAATTCGCATATTACACTCTCTTTTCGTGTTGCGAAAATTTACTTTGTTTTCACGCAAACTGCTTGCCTCGTTTTTGCGTTAAAACCATGTGATATATCACACACGGTATCTGTTGCCTTAACCCTTTAAGCCCTAAGAGTGATCAGCATGAAATTTCTCCAATGCAAATAATATCATTGCTTTAGAAAACAGAGTGGTCATGAGAATTGAGGTCATGATCAGGGAAGATGTGTCTAACTGATATTTCAATAAATTCTCCCCACTACTTCTATTGAAAAAGTATAGGGACAGTAAATGAGAATCTCAGTTTTCATATTAGGGTTTAAAGTGTTAAAACCATGTGATACAGTTGAACCTCTCCGCAACGGCCACCTTGGGGAAAGAAGAAAGTGGCCTTTGTAGAGTCAGGTTTAAACAAGAGTCAATGTATGGACTGTCCGCCAAAAAAATGTGGCCATTGTAGAGAGGTGGCCGTTTGTGGAGGTTAGACTGTATAATACACGAATTGGAATCCGGATCACTCTTTATCGATCTTTGATTGCTACTAGTGTAGATTATTGTATAATGCGCCTAGTACTCATTTCCCCCTTGCTTTGCGAGAGACAACGGAAAGAGGCTTGTATCAATTCAGGCGGTCTAAATTAAAAGTACATCAGTGCTAATGACAAATGAAAAAAAAAAAATGAACTGAGTCTTGAATTTTTCAAAAACACAAGGACGTGACCAGTGATAAATTAAAAAATTAGAAAAACAAAT